TGCATGATCATCTGGTGTCAGCTGCACTGCTTTTTGCTGTATAGCAATGGCCTGGTCAACATCTGCAAGGTCACCAAGATGTTCGAAGCGGCTCAAGAAGGAGTTTCCAAGGTTGTTGAGCCGGCCAGGCTTGTTGGCATGATCATCTGGTGTCAGCTGCACTGCTCTTTGCTGCACAGCAATGGCCTGGTCAACATCTGCAAGGTTACCAAGATGTTCGAAGCGGCTCAGGAAGGAGTTTCCAAGATTGTTGAGCTGGCCAGGCTTGTCTGCATGATCATCTGGTGTCAGCTGCAGTGCTCTTTGCTGCACAGCAATGGCCTGGTCAACATCTGCAAGGTCACCAAGATGTTTAAAGCGGCTCAAGAAAGAATTTCCAAGGTTGTTGAGCCGGCCAGGCTTGTTGGCATGATCATCTGGTGTCAGCTGCACTGCTCTTTGCTACACAGCAATGGCCTGGTCAACATCTGCAAGGTTACCAACATGTTCGAAGCGGCTCAGGAAGGAGTTTCCAAGGTTGCTGAGCTGGCCAGACTTGTGTGCATGATCATCTGGTGTCAGCTGCACTGCTCTTTGCTGCACAGCAATGGCCTGCTCAAGATATGTAAGATCACTAGTATGATGAAACTGCCTTTTCAAGGCATTTGCAAGGATATCATCACCTTTTTTAGTTCACTCAGCAAATGTGATTTGTCATAACATCTCAGAAGTTCTTGAGAAAGATGTTCCAGGACCAGTGCAAAAAAATCTGAAATGTTGCCTTGAATTTGAGATAAATCTGCATCAATACCAGTGATCAATGTAGATGAGTTGAGGCTTGTGTGGTGTAATCTGTGTTTTGATCAATAATGTGGCCCTTGCATCTTAGAAACTTCACACATACTGCAGTGCTTCTTCATTCTCCATGCTGTCATTCAGCACAAGTTTGATGATGTTGTGCAGCAGTTTTCTTGATTATGTAGCATGAGCAAAGCAGCAATAGCACTTCAATGCTAAATATAACATACCCAGCACTTGTATTCTTCAACATGACACATGCTCTCAATAATGCTACGGAAAATCCTGATCGAAATTTTGCTCTGCTCAAGATTAAGATTGTCAATGCAAGGCATGATAATGTCAGTGATACATACATAAACTGAACTGCCTCTGTCAACAGAAGACCACTTGGACCCACAGCAATTGATGAACTTGGGTTTGAGAGTCTTGACAGATACATGACAGATATGTAAGACTCGATACAAAAGAAAGCTTACTGTGCTGGCATATTCAGAATCTGAGGGTCTGAAGGAGATGGGGTTAACTGTGAACCCTCCAAAGGTTGTATGATTGATATTCTGTGGTACCATAGATGAGTTACTGGAGTAGGTCGAATGGAAGAAAGATGTATCCCACTCAGGTACAGTCAAGTCAGAATGCTCTGAGGTGGGCACAGTCAGAGGACTGGATGGCTCAGAGTTGATGTTTCCCGGAGTTGTATCCATAGTTCGAGTTCTCAGTGATCACAGAGTGTAGCAGAAGTGTAGCTTTGACGAAGTGTCCGAATGCAGGGGATGAGAGGAAAGGGAAAGGGGTGTGAGGTTCGCGAGGCTAAGTATATGTGGGTGGGCTATGCACAGCTCGCAAGCGCATGTTTGATGGGCAGGATCATATGTACCAGTAAACAGTATCGGACCGCTGAGCGCTGAAAGCGCTGAACGAGGACGCGGACGCTCGTCAAGATGCTCGCACTCTTTCCCTTCCAACCTGTGCAACATGGCGGTTTGTGTCTCTCATCTCGCGCCATGTTACGTGCGAGGATGGGACTTATATTCGCACTTGTAGAAGGCGAACATCACCCGCGCAGGATTGAATGACGCGCTCAGTGGCGCCGATTCTGTTCTTCGAGCGAGGCAGTGGTCGGCGCCCAAGGAAGCATGGAAGTGCACGCACAGCTATCCTGTACTCATATCGCCCGAAATATAGTTTACTTCTGTCATGGACGTGTTTACCACGCATTTGGGACACTGCCATTCTGCTTCTATTCAGCACCCCTTCGTGATATGGATGGCCGCTCGCGTCCTCGTCAAGGAAGATACTCGTCTGGACACTTAGCCGTATACTCCAACTAGTGCACTCGTACCACAGCAGATTCACGACTTTTGCCGGCGGCTGCCCGCGTTCAATGCTAGATTCACCCAGCAGCGCCGCGCGCTGCCATTATCCTGCCCTGTCTTCAGCACGACCATCCCAACGTTCTCCGCTTTGTATTTACCTCAGACGCTTTTCATACTTGCGCCGCCTTTCTACGTCCTAGGAGCGCTTCTCGTAGTATCTATACAAAGTGAACTTCGAGCAGTGAGCGTTGCCATCTTCTCATGACATGATTTTTCCCCAACTGAAAGGCTCAGGCATCATCTCGGCATTAGGTTAAGTCTAAGAGACTAGGGTCAACCAGGCAACGATTGCTTACCTCCGACAAGGTCGTGGAGTGCTAAGGAGTTGGTTCATTTGGGATTGGATGGCCGTTATGTCGCAATGCTCGACGGTAGCATGCACTTTGTGTCTGTGAAGTGGACCCTATGAATTCTTGGTCGAGCGAATTTCCTTGATATCTACGATGATCACCGCCGCTTCACGCACCGAAAATGCAATGCCAGTGTAGCTCCCCTGCAGAAGCATGCATAAGATCAGGTACGAGGCGATATCAGTTGTAATTCGACCGGACAACAGTAGGCGATTACCGTGGCTCCAAGTCGAACGCTATCGCAATGTCGCAATTCATTACAACTAATAGACGAGGTGGACTTCGCACACAGTGCGGGAAATGAGTACTGGAAAGGACGTTTGATTATTGCGCAGACGGACGAAGGAGACGCGCCACGCACCTGCGCTAAGGCTACCGCATCGCATCTCGCCTCCTCATCCGTCTCCTCACTTGCTGCTCGCTCAAATCCACCCATCCACCCATCCGCTCCTGGTATCGAGTGCTGGTGTCGTCGTACCGCCTCTCTTCCGGCAGCCACATAGCCACTTCACGTTCCAAAGGTCCGGCCTTCTAGCGCTCGGCAGTTAGGACATCGCGGCCACCACGCAAAACGGCGAGCTCCTCGGTGTCGAGTGCTGCAACGACTAGCGGGGCGCATAGCGGCGGCGCTGGTGCGACAGTATCCACTTTGCTTCCGGCCCTAAACCATCGGCATGGAGAGAGTGCATCCTGCGCAGAGGGAAGGGTGGGCGGGTTTGGGGGAAGGCGGGATTAAGGGGAGAAGGCGCGTTGGGAGGGCAAGAGCATAACGCAGATGTCTATTACGAAAATTCGGTTTACAAATAGGGACTGAGACATGTGCGGTCAATAATGCGATTCATGTGGCATTTCGATTGGGGCCGTTGGTTGTTGTCGGGCGTCGAGTACGCCATAGCATATGCCAGGCATCGTAATTTGTTGTGTGTGTTCGTAATTCCGTAAGATGTTCCATTCATATTGCGTGGACAGGTTGTCGCAGCGCTATCGATGTTCTCGTTAACGTTGCTGTGCATTCTCAATCATTTCATCGGCGAAACGTTATTGGCAAGGATATTTGTGGCGGTTGATAACCAGGCAAGGTCTACATTAGGTATAATTTGCTTCCCGCGACGCTAAAGGAGCTCTAACAGTAGACTCACGAGCAGCCTCTGCCACTGGCGATACACCGTTCAATGCGAGCGGCGAGCAATCCGACTATGGAAGCGACCTTTCGATTGCGCGTTATCCGCATTTGAGGTATCCGCATCAACCATGTGCATGACCAGATAGAACTCGTCCGACGTATCGGGATCCGCGATTGCGACCGGTATTTGCTTGTACGCCTCCAGCGAGATAGAAGCAGCGGAAGTTGTCGCGTTTGGAGTCGTCACTGTCGTATTCTCAGGGGCTGTCACGTTCGTCAGAGTAACAATTGGTGGACCGGGGAAGATATACGCCGCATTAGGGTTGTCGTAGGCCTAGAATTCACAGTGAGTAGCCGCTCGAAACGATCCGCTCGTATTCTGATGTTGGCAGCTCACATCAAACAGGATACCTGGATCGGTAGGGCTGTAGGCTCCCGGAAAGGCCACCGTGTCGTTCAAGGCAGGGACACCTGTCCCGTTGCCGGTGATCTGCAGCTGCGTACAGGAGGGGAAGAACTCGGCGCCGCCGGGCGCCATGGCGTTCTGCAAACCGATCATCTGCGTGCATGGTAGTGTCAGGCTGTGCAGGGATCCTGGGTATCAAGAGAGAATTTACCTCGTTTCGGAACAGGTACGGCCCTGGGGCAAGGCCGTCTGGGATGGTGACGTTGAATTTGGCACCTAGCACTGAAATCGGTGAGCACATGCAGTTCTACGGATTGTGGTCGAGTCATAACGCACTGATTTCCTCCTGCACCCAGCCAGTACCATTGCTTTTCTTCCCGACCTCGTCGATCTTAAACCATCGCGCCCCGGATGTGTTGAACTCCGCACATGTCGTCGTGTTCTCACAGTGCGTCATGTACGTGAGTATCGGGCCCACTTCGTGTGGCCACTGCAATGCCGACCCGGAATTATCAGCATGCGTACGGACTTGCGCATGCATGCGGTCATCACTCACGGGTCCACCGCTCCCAGACACCCAGGTTAGGTTGACGGCGCTCCCAGGCGCCGCCTCCGCATCGACGGGCGCAGCCAGTGCGCCCGGGCCACAGGCCAAATTGGGATCCGAAAGGTTCTGCACCGGGCTGTCTGAGGACACGGTGCGGATCGGGCTGACGACTGCGCTCGGTGAGCATGTGAGATGTGGTAATTGGGGAGGCTGAGACACTCACTGCCGCTGTGCCCTGGGGCGTTCCCCTGGTAGGTTGCGCCGCCGATGGTGATGTTGGTGACGTACCCGTGCGCGGCAGCGCGCGGCACCTGGCTGGCGGTGAGGAGAAGGAGAAGCGCGAGTGCGGACGTGGGCATGAGCGTGTGTGCGTCCTGCGCAGAGGAAAGGGCGAGCTTGTTTAAGGGAAAGGAGAAGGGGCAGGCGGGGAGGCAAGAGCACAAGGCGGATGTCTGGAATAAAAATGTGGGTTTATAGGTAGCTAGGACTGAGACATGTGCGGTCAATAATGCAATTCATGTGGCATTATGATTGGGGCCGTTGGTAGTTGTCGGGCGTCGAGTACGCCACAATGCATGCCAGGCATCGTGATTTGTTGTAACTCTGTAGAATGTACCATTGTCGTTGCGATCTATGCTGCTGGATTGATGTCAAATTTTGGGTGGGCGGTAAGAGCGAGGTGGCAAGTTCGGACGGCGGCCACACCACGTGGGTTTGCCTCGGAGATGCACCTCGCGGCATGTTCCGGGCGTCATCTTATCTTATCATGAACTGATCCGCCTCCGAGAGCAACATACACGAACGGCGTGTCCTTGACGTTCATTTCTACATCATCTATCTCGCTGCTCGCCTACATATTCATGCACTATCCGAACCGATAAACTTGCTTATTCGAATTGGGCGCGAAAGGAATCTTGTTCTCGGTGATGACCCTTTTTTCCAGCGGTTCATGCACCACACTGAGGTCTCAGTGACAACTCTCGCGAAGAAAAACACTGACAGAGGTAAAAAGAAAATTCATTTAATGGAAACAACATCTATTGAATGCTGCTATAACACCCAACCTATAGATACAGATGGTGCAAACAGTAGGGGTACGTGATGAGCGTAGCAATCGTCATCGTGTGTGCTCTATTAGGCGGCGGCATGGAAGCATGAAACGGCGCGCTGAGCGCGTCGCCCATCCAAAACGAAGAAACAACCCAGTACCGAGCAGTGCGACCGCAACCTGGGGAAACAAATAGCAGGGGGGCCGCCAGGATAGTAAAAGTGAAGATGCGAAGAGATCAGGACGTTGAGTTCATGACGTGAGATGATGATGCATATGTCTTTGATGGTGTCCGGATGCCGATTTATAGTAAGTCTATCGTATGCTCGGTCGTGACGATTCGAACAGGAAAGGGGATGGAAATGTCTGTGGGGTTCAGCCCAAACAGATGGGATGATGAAACGAAAAAAAGAGGAGACAGAGGCCGGGCCTTCACACATTGTTGGCCACATTATCCCCGGTCTTCTTCTTGTCGGCCACGTCCTCCTCGGGCTTCTCAAGCACGGGCGTGGCCGCCCTTGTCGGCGCGTACTTTGACTTCTTCCTGATATGAGGCCCGTACGCGTAGAGCACAAACGGGATGGGCGCCATGAGCACCGCGAGGCACCCAATGAGGGTCGACGCCCAGCGCGCGTTGAGCCGGTTATACATCTGCGCAGCGAACATCGGGAAACCTGCGCCGAAAAACGAACGAACGACGGTAAGCGCAGCGAGCGCGGATGCGGCGACGAAGAGGTACGCATCGATCACGTAGTTGAACAGCGCGAGGAAAATCCAGACGACGCTCCACCCGAGCGGGAAGCCAGCGACGAGCGGTGCCCAGAGCGAGACGTTCGGGTAGGACGTCCATCCGAACCAAAAGAACGCGCCCGCGAACATCGGCGCGGCGAACATTGCGACCTCTAGCCGTTCCTCGGGAGGCACGGGATGCGGCGCGTGCCTATGCTGCGAGCGCACGTACCGCGGGTTGAAGATGAGCAGGTAAAAAAAGACGCCCGCGCAGGCGCCCAGGAAGATCGGCAGAAACGTCAGCCCGAAAAGGCCCATGCTGAGGTGGTGCCCTTCAATAAAGACGATGGGGTACGCCTCGAAGAGCAGGTAGATGCAGCCGTATACGAACTATGCAGGACTGTGAGTTGCCGCGCAAACAATAGACGGAGACAGCACTTACGCTCATGTACATGGTGATGGCCATAAGCATAGGCTCCCGGAAGAGAATGAGAAATGGCCTTGCGAGAATATGCTTCATGTGCTCCCCGAACGACTTCTTCTGCCTCTCCAGCGGAGCCCAGTACCGGTCATCACCTGTCTCCTTGCGCAGCCGCTGCGCCTTCCGAACCATCAGGATCGGCCTATGCAATCACAGATCAGTGATGGTACCTCAGAAGAGGTGATGGGAACATACAAGAAGGTTTCCGGCAACGTAAACACAGTCAGCATCATACAGAAGCCAGCAAAGAGCGTCAGCAGCCAGAAGAGCCATCGCCAGGAGACCCCTCGAACGCTCATGAAGCCAGAGACGATCGGTCCGAGAGTGGGTCCCGCGAACGGTGCAAGAGTGAAGAACGCCAGAGCCTCTCCTCGGGTTCCCGCATCCCAGATATCGGACACCAACGCGCTGTGGATAGTGATGAGGATCATTGTGGAGTATCGGCAATCATAGCCACTCACCCGCTATTGGACAACGGAGCAGCCGCAAAGGTACCACTGAGGAACCGAAAGACCAGGATTGACCCAGTATTTCGTGAGAGTGCGCAGCCTACTTGGAAGCACACGTAGACCGCGAAGGTGATGATGAAAATGATCCGCCGCCCGAACTGCTCTGATAAAGGTCCCCACAGTATAGGACCGACACAGTAGCCACCAACGAATAGGGCGATTGTCAATGTCACCACCTCTTCGCTGAACGTAAAGTAATCCATCAACTCAAAGACGATTCCTTCTGGTGCTGAGCTCGCAAAGGTACTAAACATGGACATACGTCAATCGCTGTGGAAATAAAGATATCTAAAACCGTTGGGGCTCACGCATTGAAGACTAGCACACTACCCAACATTGTCAGATACCACCGATATGGTCTTGACCAACTCTTTGGATTCTCAGGATCGTCCAAGGGGATGGTGACCTCAAACGAGTCCCATCCCTTCTCGCCCGGGTGAGGTCCATAGGCTTCGAGGTGGAACTCTGATTGAACCTCATCCTCTGCAAGTGCTTCTTCTTCTAGATCGTCGACGATTGTAGGGGAATGCGAGTCGGCAACAGATGCGCGCGAATGGGACTCGGCCTGGTTCTCTTCATGTTCTTTTGGAAGTGTGGAGAGCGAATTCGGCCGGGTGAACGAAGACGAAGACGGGGACTGCGGATGCGTGGATTCCATGCAGAGGAAGGAGGAAAGAGATATAACTTACGAAGACGGACGGGCCTCTCAAGAGAGCAACCCCCCGCTTGCTTTTATAGTCAGCGCGTGCGGTGGGAGCGGGTCTACGAGATGCAAATAGTCAGCATGGAGGTGTAAGGAAGGCTAGGGCCTCCTGTTTAGCCAACAGATTCATCTCGCCGACGTCACGACTGTGATCATTTTGTGACATTGTCACGCAGTTTTTACAGGCGGCGTTTGTTGCGCACCGACCGGTTCTTCACCGGCTAGGTTGAGCTGGGCGGGTCATTGCTGACTTTGCACTGACTGAGGGTGGCCCGCCCCGCTCGGACCGCTACACTTGCGACTCGCCGCCGTCGACAACGCGCGAGCCTGCTGATTGTCGGTGGACTCCCTGCGGGCGATTTGCGCGCCCACCGCCCGATAGCTACTTGCTCGACCGTGACCTGTAGTTTGGTTTTGGCTCCTGAATATTCCACATTTTCTACACGCTTCCCGGCCAGTCTATCAGTTGCCGTAGAAGGGAGGATTTACGCTGCGATGGCTCTGATTAGCAAGCGATTTGATTTTCCCATGGTCCGTTCCTCCGCGATGCCCCTTTGACATGCAAGGCCGCCGTTTCTAGTGCGGTGTGCATGGACCGCATGATGAGATAGCAGCTCCACTCTCGCAAGCGATGTCATAACACCGTTGGCAAAGGCAACGGCTTTTTGCATCGCAGGTCGCACGCAATTGTGTGGTGGCTCATGAACAATGAGAACATGTGGATGGACCGCTCACAAGCACTGTAAGCGTTGCAACAAAGATGCGATGACTAACCATCGAGCCTCTGGGGTTTGAGAGAGGGCCTCGTCCGACATTTCATGCGGAAAATGTATCAGGATTCACAGCATTCCTTGGCCATGCAGCTGCCCGCTCCTGAGCCAATCATGCCTCTGCATGGCGCGATGTCCAAGACGGGAAAAGGATTCCGACATCTCTCTTGCGAGTCTGGCCAAGCGAGATATTTTGAGATTTTAAAAGGCAAGACGGATGATGCATGATGGAAAAAAGGCTTTCAGTGAGGTCGTCACGATCGTCGACGTTGATGTTGGTGTGTGTGAACGTTAGAACGTTCGGGTGATGCGCCCGAGGGGGTGACCGGTGATAGGCGCCTGTCCGCCCATCTTCGGCCACATGGCCACGTCCGTGCTATGGTTCCATTTACTGCGCTAGATCCACTTGCAACAGGTTCATCACCCTGAGCCATGTCGCGTTGATTGTTGGCCCAACAAATGCAGCCATGTTGCAGTATCCGCTACCGGTGGGAATATTATACAGATCCTCGGATCTTGGATCCCCGGCGACTCAAAAATGAAATCTTGAAACACCACAAATGTCTCGCCAGGCACGTAGATTCGCTTCAATCTGCTATGCGAGTGTTCAGGAATGCCTCAAAATATCTTGCGGTACGTCGGACGGAACATGCCATTTGAACGCTATGTGTTGCCTTTTAGTAAGCTGCCCCAAAAACCCCTCACAAAACGGGTCGGGTGGCAGCAGCGAAGAAACGCTGCACATCTGGCACATCCCCGAACTGCATCCGACCCGATCGGATTAACCCTTCAATTTAAGCGCGATCTCGCCAGCCCTCCATGCAATGCTGAAGCCTGTCTTATGGTCATGCACTCTGCAGTCTGGCGCCCCGCAGTTCTCAACTTGATTTGGCCCGCTCGTCGTTTTCGTCGCATCCGTGGGTCGCTAACCGCCCTCGAGACGTGTATGCATAGTCGAGAATGACATGGACCTTTCCGTCAATATTACCGTCTGCGAATCAAATGCCTCGACCTTGCTGAAGCGAGTGCGCAATGTTGGCGAGGATTGACTTGAACGGAACTCGGTCGTCAATCCTCTTTGAAACCATATGCTACTCATCGTGTACTATTCGTCAGCCGCTCTGGTGTTAGACGGTCTGCGTGCTCGCTGATCCTTGACTTTGTTTCTCCTGCATCGCACGGCGCCTCCAGGCTGGCTGTGACGCGGATTGTGTGGATGCATTCACTCACGTACGCCCGGACACTGTCAAGAAACTGCGCAGCGGCCGCCTGCTCACTGAGCCAAAGCACGACTTTCGTCGCCGGGCGTGACTGGTCGGCTTTCCTCTCACCACGTCGGTGGTCCTCGCGCTGGACAGTCACTGGGCCTCCACGTTCGTTTCCCCTCCCACCCGAGGCGAGATCGTTTTGCGCTGCTTTGGATGTGGTCTCACTTGGCTATTCAAGGGAACGTATGTGGTGTCGTAATGTAGCTGTGAGTTGCGGTTTCTTCCTGTATTGATATGTCTCATCACCATCACCGAGCTGCTTACAGCGAACCGTAACAAGTGTTTCTGAGTAATGAGTCGTTGCAAGATTGAGGATCTTAGCGAATCGATTCCATCCCTCTTCGCTGGTAGAACGTGGTACGATATCGATCGCTTCAGCTATCTGTACATAACACCTCAACAACATGCCGTCAACGTCGTTTTCATCGCAATGATTACTATATACATCTCCTACCACGGTTTCTCTTCGCCACTTGCCCACCACGTAAAGCTCACCTGTTCTCATTACCTCCGTCATGCTCGGCGTTGTCTTTATTGTTAATAGTGAGCCCTCTATGTTCAGGCCTGTACCTTCCATACTCTTTTCGCCATTGACAGCTTTTCGGAAGGTCAGAACGAGCTCCTCCTGCCCTCCTGATCCTCAGTATGGGCTCGTTGGTGCCCCTTTCCATTTTGAGCAAAGCCGCTGCAAGAATGGCTGCCGGCAGGCGAACGGGTCTGAGAGAGTTCGGGACCGTCTCGATTGCTTTTTGGACGCTTGCACGCCTGGCGGAGGACGTGATGATGGAGAGGTTGACATTCCTCATGTCGATGTATATACGGATGACGCTACGGAGATCTGTCGCGTTACGAACGCGACTGTTTGTGCGCGCATGCTCCTCGTCAGATAGTAGTTGCCCGTACTCCTTTGATATGGTGAGTTGGTTGAGGATGGTCAGCATTGCTTCCTCGGTGCCTTCGTGTAGGCCACGAAGCATGCAAACCGGCCGACATCGTAGAAGCCATGTCGGCTTGCACATCGAGATGAGGTCGGATTACAGGAACAACAAGGGTGCTCATGAGGGATGAAAGCTGGATGCATTTCGATGTGCGGCTCCGCGCGTATCTGTATGGAAAAATATCGTTGTCGCCCGCGATACCGGTACTATACGCCGTCACTTATTTGAACATGCGCGTCTCTTCGGCGCCAAGGGTATGTCACGCTAACTGACTCTGGTCTATCACTCGATCTGCATCATATTGTACAGTACAATCCCATGATGTCTAACCTACTGGCCGGTGCTCGATCCGACCCTGGCCTTCATCCACCTGTCGAACTCGACAGCCCACTCCTCTCCATCACCGCTCCACAACGCCAGCATCGGACTAAAGTGATTATGGCGCTTCATGACAAAGAGTCTCACATCCTTTCCGAGTGTCTCCCTCAACATGCTGATCCACTCTTCGTTCGCCTCTATCGCCCCATCAGGATCGCGCTCGCTTACCATCACTATCACATCAGGGAATCCGCTGACGATGCTCTCGGGCAGGCGCTTCAGAAGTGCTGACGGCATGTTCTCCTCCACGGCGTCCCAGGCACCGTACAGCTGCGTAAGTATCCCCGCCATCACGCCGTCCCTCCGCTGCTTGTACTCGCCGCCGGCGAGGTTGATGCCACGGATGCGCGCGCGCAGCGGTGCCGGGAGCAGGGTGGGGTGCAGCAGCAGGGTGGACGCGATGGTCGCGCCGGCGGAGTGGCCCATCATGAAGATGCTGTCGAGATCCACCTTCAGGTTGCGCTCGCTTGTGACTTGATTGGCGTAGCGACTACCCAGGCCATCGCGTCCCGTACGTCTTCCATGGGCTCGGGGAAGCGTGCTTCGGGGAGCAGGCGATAGTCCGGTATTACCGTTAGGATCCTGCAGAGTTGCAACGATGAGACAACTGACGTTATGACTCCAACTGATCATTCAGTAAGGAGAACCATGCTGACCCTCGTTTGGCAAAGAAGGCTCCTAGGTTGGCATATAGGAGCTCGGCGGGCGGTGAATTTCCGATTGCCTAATATGAATCCGCCGCCGTATACGAAGAAGAGAACCGGGAAGGATTCGTGAGTCTCGGAAGGATAATACACATCGAGCTGGCCGTGAATGAGTGCACCAGCTAGACAAGAAGAGTCAAACGCATACCTGATGCCTATCCGTGTGGCCATAAGTGAATGTCCTTCGCTTAATGGTCTCTATCTCTGCACATCGTGCCTCCAACAAGGGTATGAATGCATCCAGAGCTATTCAGCGGCGGGTGAGCACCCAGCGCACGACGTGACCGGCATCGAGACGTACTCGGCTGGATGGGATGATGTTGGCGACGGTACGATCAGTCTGAGCGGCCACCACGTTCGTAATTTGATGTGATCCCCCAAGTTGCTGGATAGCGCGCGGTTGATGGAGCACTACTTTATAAAAGGTACAGCCGCGCGCTTCTCTGGGGCTATGCTTCGTATAGCTACGACTACGTGTGTGACGTGCCGAAACGCTCGTTGATGAATGCGCGGTAACACGGCATGAGCGCAATTAGGGCGTATCCAAGTTAGTTTACCGAACGGGAACGAGTCGGTTTGATGACCAGCCACTGACGCGTTTGTCTGCGTCAGTGCGGTGACACCTCGAAGTCGAAGTTCGAATTTGTGGCCCCTAGCAGATCATACGCGAGTCGCATCCCGACCGGAAGCTCAAGCCATAGAGTTCCGTGCAGATCTAGGAACAACCAAGGATACCACAGTAGTCGAGGCTTTAGCATAAAGTGTGATTTCTTGCGATGCCTAATTCAGAGGAGGTCCGTAGGCTTGCGCATCCATTGTCGATATGGCATTACGGCCTTTTCGGAGCTGCTTGCCTTTCGGGCCTGCTCCTACCTGGCGACAGAAGTCATCGAACAGAGTAGACGTGAGCTGTATCATAGCCGCCTATAGTATTTCGAAGACCTGCGGATTGGATAGATTAGCGCCCATGATGATTTGGCATGGCGACTCAAGTGACGACTACGAAATTCACTTCGATGCCGTCGGAGCTGTCACTAATACGCTATCAGTCACTGGGAGAATAGCTCATGTTCATGTGTTATCAGCTCGCGTTCAAAGATCGCCGCAAGACCGGAATCAATGCAGATCAACGGTGAGCGCGTGAGCACGCGCTCCGGGGTCAAGTCGCCCAAAAAAGCCACAAGGTATGCCATTTCCAGAGTCATCGTGGGTGCAGGGCCAGCAGGGAGGCACAGCGACTCGACATCGTCTGCCCACCAAATCCGATCAACACGGTTCGGCATCGTCTGGCTCAAGTATTTGGCCGCGATCTGCTTGACCGTGATCTCGAAAGAGCAGGAAAGGAAGTTGTTACGCGACGGAAGTGTACCTACTGATCGAACGCAGTTGGTTACAGAGGAAGGACCGGATGACGAAGGGCTCCGGAAGCATCTGATCGAAAGGAGCCGTACGCTTGTCCGACCTTTTATAAGCGCAGTCACCTGGGCACCACGAGTGACCTAATCGCTCCTCTCTCACAAGCCCTTCTACTCCTACAATCCTCTTCTTTCCCAAATTCCTCGCACCATGGGTCTGGTGTTCAGCATTCTCCAAACCATAGTGATCTGCGCGCTTTGCTTCGTGCTTTGGTACCTCGCCAAGAGCGTCTTCTTGCGTTCGCCATTAGATAACGTCCCGGGGCCTGTTTCTCAATCCTTCTTGAAAGGTATGGGCCCGTGATCTAAATCCATCTTGGTACCATCGACAGAGAAGCGTTGGCAGGAAACTTTGGCCAGCTCCTCGATCGCACAGGCTGGGATTTTCAATGGGAAATCGGCGAGAAGTATGGCTCAGTGGTGAAGCTGAACGGGCTACTCGGAGTACGCCCAACGTCACAGTGTGTAATTCTTAGTAATGCTGACCTGCTTGCTCCAGAGCAAGCACCTGTTCGTGTTCGACCCGCTGGCGCTGTCCAGTGTCATCGTCAAGGATCAGTATGTCTATGAGGAGACCCCCGACTTCCTCGGGTAAGTAGCCCCTCGCTCAATGCGATTCACACTCATGTTGGAAACGCCCCAGGTCGATGCATCTCATGCTGGGTGATGGCCTGCTTGCAACCCTAGGTTTGTAACGATATGTCCCCTGTCAGACACCAATTGACGCGGTTAACACGTTACTACAGGCGAGCGTCATCGCAAACAGCGCAGGATGCTCAACCCCGTATTCTCCATCGCCCACATGCGACATATGGTCCCCATCTTCTACAGGATCACTAACAAGGTTTGCACCTTGGCAATGCACAACGAGGCAAGCTAACTGAGGGACGTTCATAATAGCTAAGAGATGCCATTGCTGTGCGTGTCAAAGAGGGCGTGCAAGAGATCGATATTCTGGACTGGATGGGCCGCACCGCGCTGGAGCTTGTTGGACAGGCTGGACTTGGATACTCGTTCGATCCGTTAACGAGTGATGCGTCTGATGACTTTGGCAAGGCCATTAAGAGCATTGTGTACGTGCCTCTTGCTCCTTACTTGCTCCTGCCTCTGCTGATCGAAATAATTCTAGGCCTACGCTGTTCCCTCTTCGTATAGTTCGCCCCCTACTGCCGCTTGCAATGAAGTTTGGCCCGCCCTCCTTCAGGCGGCGTCTGGTGCAGATGTCTCCGAACCCACACATCCGCCGTGCCGGCGAGATTTCCGACGCGATCGCCGAGCACTCGCACAGGATTTATGAAGAGAAGAAGGCCGCGCTGGAGAGGGGCGACGAGGATGTTACGCACCAGATCGGCGAGGGCAAGGACATCATGAGCAAGCTCAGTAAGCATATACGTCGAGTCCTATCTTGCTTTACCTCATGCTTGGCGCAGTGCAGGCGAACATGGCTGCGTCCGAGGAGGACAGGCTGCCCGAGGACGAACTATTGGGCCAGATGTCGTGCGTTACACAGTCTCCTGCTGCGCTTCCTGCAGAGCGGACGCTCATCGGACGTCAGGACGTTCATCTTCGCAGGCATGGACACCACGTCCAACGCGCTCGCACGCACGCTGGACTTGTTGGCAAAGCACCCGGAGGTGCAGGAGAAGCTGCGTGCAGAGATCCAGGAAGCCCGCCGCAACAACGAGGAGATCCCTTACGACCAACTCGTGGAGCTGCCATATCTAGACGCCGTTTGTCGTGAGACGTTGCGCGTGTGAGTCCGCACGGTTTGTGAGATGGTGTCGACAGTCACTGAATAAACGCTCCAGGTGTGCCCCGGTGCCGTTCCTTGTTCGAAAGTACGTCCCGTAGATCGCGTTAGCGTTACTCTGTGCACATGATCCTGACTGGAACCCTCGCCGTGCAGCACGGGCAAAGACATGGTCATGCCTCTCTCGACACCCATACGCGGCAACGACGGTACGATGATGAATGAGATACCGGTGCCGAAAGGTACTGGGATCCTCATCGGTATCCTCGCGTGCAACCGCAACGCGGAGATATGGGGCCCCGATGCGGCAGAGTGGAAACCCGAGCGCTGGCTCAAGCCGCTCCCGGAGGCGGTCACGAATGCGCACGTGCCTGGCGTGTACTCACATCTGTAAGTCTGTCTGTATGCTAATGTTGCCGCACTCAGATGACTGATTTGTGCCGGACAGGATGACGTTCTTGGGAGGTGGACGGGCTTGCATGTCAGTGACCTTTCGCTCTGCATGATCGCTCTGCAGTACTGACTGGTCTCTTCTATAGTGGCTTCAAGTTCTCTCAGCTAGAAATGAGTGCGTACCTCTGTGACTATCTGCTACGTCCGTGGTGCTCACCGTACATCACAGAGGTCGTCCTCGCTGTCCTGCTCTCCTCCTTCACTTTCGAGTCCGCCGGCAAGGAGATCTTTTGGAACGTCGCAGGTATTCAGTATCCTACCATCGGGCTGAACCCGAAGCCTGAGATGCCCATGAAAATCGGTTTCGCAAAGGGCCTGTGAGAGGTGTCGGTATGATCTGAATTTATTTGTGAGATAGTGTATTCTTTGTGACGATGGCTCCCATGGACTTCTGGATGAATGGTCGTTTTTGTTTGCACTTTATTATGTGGTTACTTAGCCCCGCATTGTTGCTCGTAATATGGGCTGAGCTTCATATTTTCCTGCAAACATTGAAGCTATGGATTCTTCACGGTTGCGCAGTCACATTCGCGTCATGCCGAACACGAAGGTACGGCTCGAGCGGGAAAACTGATTTCAGCGGATGAAGCATCAAGGGTATACATATGTATAGAGTGAATGGAAAATCGATACGTTCCCGTCGGAAGAACTTGATTCTGGGTTGGTCAGCTAGCTCGACTTCTCCATTGGGTCCACTTATAAGCAGGACGGACGGATCCATGCGAACTTCAGTGCTCGGTTAGGTGAGACAAGCTGTAGTCTTTCACTAATGGACGCCATAGCGGCACAACAAGAGCGGTCCGTCCCTCTCATTTACGACTACAGTATGTCGCGGAGAGAACAGATCTAATAACGTGGACACGCATTAGACTCATACATTGCGTTCGTAGCGAGGAATGCCTTCCTGCCCTACCTTGAAGCGCATCGTGCCGAGATCGAGGCCATCGAGCGTACCACATTCAAGTACGGTGTGACAGACCGACATCAGGTATGACGATTGCTTCGAGCGATGAACGAGGCGTTGACGACCGGTCGCCATTTAGCTTGACGTCTACTACCCTTCGGAAGTAACACAGGAGAAGGCGCCGGTCCTCTTCTTCATCTATGGCGGAGGGTTCGTTACAGGGGAGCGAATCTTCCCTCCTCCGTTCGACCTCGTCTATCGTAACTTGGGAGCGTTCTTTGCGAAACGAGGGTGAGTCCTCGAAAGCACTGTCCCCCGTATGCAGAAGGATGAACAGGAGAGCATTGCCATAGCATATTGACCATCATCCCGGATTACCGCCTGGTGCCGAGCGTCATGTTCCCGGAGCCCGTAAAGGACATACGAGATGCGATTGCTTGGGTTCTCGCAAACACCGAGGAAGTCGGCCGCCGCGGCACCGTTCACGCGAATTTCGACAACGTGATGATCATGGGCCATTCCGCAGGGTCAATCTACACTGCTACGATGATGCTGTACCCCGGCTTGCTCCCGCTTGACGTGCGGTCTCACATCCGGGGCGTCATCCTTGCCGGAGGCATCTATCGCTTCAGCCGAGAGAGCGCTACTGCGGACCCTGCAGGCCTGGAGGGATTGTACGGATCATGGGAGGAGGTGCAGAACAAGATGCCTGCCACACTGCCCCAACGAGCACCTGGGGAGATCGTGGACGGCTTTCCGGAGGTGTTGATGATGGCCAGCGAGAGGGAGCCTGACGGAGTCTTCGAAGAAAGCGAAGAGTTCGCTGCTGCGCTCGGAAGGAAGCTGGGGAGGAAGATTGGAGTGTCGACGATGAAGAAACATAATCATTTGAGTCCCCATTTGTCACTTTGGAGTGGATCGGGAGAGGAGTGGGCTATCGAGGTCGAGCAATGGGTGAAGAGCAGAGTTGCCTCGAAGTAGCAAGACGAGATTGCTGGAGTCACTGAGTGAGATTCATGATGTATGACCAGTAAGTGAATATTAGTGGCACAGTAGAGTACAAAGGGGGTTGCTAACCCTGGTCGAATGGATTGATGCATGTGGCGATGGAAACATCTTAGTTCAGTCGACTTTGAAGCTGCCGCCATGGCAATTCGCTAGGGTTAGGATCGGTGCAGACTGGCACCGGAGGTGGAGAATGTGTTGAATGCGCGATTTCGGAGCCTCAAATTCCCTTCCGCCTTGATGGTGAGACGCTGACTGCGTTAGCCAGTCGTTGAAAGACTCATACTTCTTCAAATTATAACTGTAGAGAAAGTTATCGTCAATATAGTACAAGGTATTACCGAGAATATGAACATGTTCGCATTGTTCCCTTGATAATCTACATGTAGCAGTGCAATGGAGGTTGCATCTGCGAGGATTCTTGGACAAAGAACATCCCGATAACAGCTCGCCCAATTAGAGTGACCATGATGTCTCATAGAGGATCACTTGCGGGTGGCGAGCTAGCGGTTCGCACTTTAGTCCGAGGAGAAGATGGACGTTTTGATCCTCCCTACTAGCTCAGAGCAGGAATCATGGATGATGGTGCATCCTGAAAGGTTAGTCGCCTAATGACTCCGCCTCTGTTTACAAATCGTCTTCTATCTAATGATATGCTTGTCCCTTGAGTCTGAGGAGACCTGATCCGGGTGGACTCACGTCAGCCAGCGGCGACATCGCGAAGAAGTCTCTGCTTCCGAGTCAATACGTGCGATAATGCGCAGAGTTATGAAGGAGATAACGGCCAGTCCGGGGACTGAAAGATGGTTCCTGACTTGCTTTGAAGTTGAAACATCGACGGGCCTTCATACTCCATCATGATGGGAACAATTCCACTGCTTCGATTGTCGCGCCTGGCACCTGCCATACTATGTAAGTACCTTACCTTTCGCGACCACGTGACATCTACACTGCGTACGCCACAGGCGCGTACATCCATGAAAACACCGTGCCGTATTTACACGAGTATAATTGTGCATACTTTATAATGCGCTTCGCACCTCTACCCTCCAGAACCTCCAAAGAATAAAGTGGTCCAACTCAGTGTGACATTTTTACCAGCTTTCCGCCGGCAACTTCAAAAAGAGCGCACCATCAGATTTCTTGTTCCTTATATGCAGCACTCCTTAGAATTTGATGGGATGCATCCAGCTTCTATTACTGCAATCCCTCCAAGCCCTTGCGGTACATGTAATCCAGCCTCATCTTAATGTGATTGCTGACCTTGGCAATCGCAGTGCGCTACCAAAGATGAGGGAAGAAAACAAGCAGGAAGCACGAAGACAGTTATCAATGCACTTGCACACTGTAAGAATATGTAAAAATCGTCGTAGTCTGGAGGATCGTAAGGCCCCAGAAGAATAATCTTACAAAGACGCAGGTTGAAGTGCGCGACAACCCCCAGATGCGATCATTATACTAAACCGTTGTGTGATAGTAGGCAGCAATTGCAGACCGTCACGGATCTTGGTAAAAACTCTTTGAATGGGGCGGGAATGATATGGGAGATTGGGCAAGAATAATGAAGAACGTCTAATACAGAGTGAGGGATCCATAGGGGATTGATAAAACGACGCCAAGCTTATCTGTCATGTTGCCGCGGCAAGCTTATTCGTGCAAGAAGCACGCGGTGCGTATCATTCGCCTTCCGAGAGATCAAAATAAGTGATGATTGCAGAAAGAAAACCTTACAGGCTGCTACGTATCTTTATGTCAAATTTACGAATTTGCCAAAGCACGCTTCTGCGCCTGGAGAGATGACCTCAGGAGGTTGGTGCAAGGCTCGCAACAGATGGCTGAGACAACAAAGACGGCAAGATCAGCGCGTTGTATCGCATATAGACCCAAATGTTTCAAGAATGGCATTGGCACTGCGGCCTGTCGAGACTTGCGATCGAACATAATAGATCCCGTGATCGCGTTCCTGGAACATATCTTATCCGGACGGACAGGTTATCCTATCTCTGCAGTGGACCTCATATTCTTGCCATGATATGCTTTTTGACGTTGCTCTTAACCTCGACGCTGCCTCTTTCATCCCTCTGAGCTGAGCTCTGCGTCGGCCTGGGTGGTGTTATGCCCCGTCAAGCGATGAACTCACCGGAGCCCGAAAGACCTCCTTATGGAACGCGGCGAGGCGAGGCGAATTCTATCGAGAATGACGGAGTATCACCATCACTTCACGACGTTTTGCGAATAAGCACATCTCCACTGATTCGGGCGGGGTAAGACTTTGTCCTTCGTCTTCGCATAGAGAGGGGTTGCGTGATCTCCTTGTGACATTTAGCCTATTACAGCCGAGAAGTTTTGTCTCCTCGAGTTCCAAATCTTCAAGGCCCCGCAATGTCATACACCATACTCAGGATACCATTCGAGACAGCACCATGCACATATCAAGCATCCGTCTCCGGACCCCCGCTTTGTCTGCTCCTCACACTCAAAATGCGTTCATCTTCCCCGACGTCGAGGAGTCCGCAGAGGAGATCGAGACCCAACGTCTTCCACCGCCATCAATGTCTCTCATATCGCTTATCTCTTCTGCACACTCTGGCAGTGTTACTGACTTGACGACATCCACTACCACCCTGGGCTCAACGCCGTCTGGTGCCGCTACTCCTCGAGGTCGGTCTGGCCCTTCTGGACTTTCGCTCTTGATGGCTCGTCAGAGCGGCGAGCAGTTGTCCGGCGTAAAGGATGGGTCCTCCACACCCACAGCAGCACCTGAGTCGCCTTACAATCATGCCGTCTCAAGACAGCCTGGCAGCACTGCACCTTTGGACCATCCTCCGCCGAACACTATTTTATCATCCCATATGGACGCTGCACACCCCGATGTCACGGAAACGTCAGAGTCAGCCCCACTCCTGGCTGATCTCGAGGCAGCCCATGCAGCGTACAATGGTGGCGGAGTCCCCTCAAAGAGCAAGCGAAAATCGCGCGTGCCGATTCTGCTGTCTCGAATGCGAACCTCTGTGAGGAGCACTCCAGGGCCACGGGACATCAAGAATCTAGCTACTATTGCGCTCACATCATTACCTGCGGTCCTTCTAGGAACGCTGCTCAACATCCTCGATGGTGTCTCCTGTGAGTACGGGTGATCCCTGTGCACGATCCCTTTGCCCACAACTAGCCTACAGACGGCATGATCATATTTCCTGCGACCGGTGTCTTCTCCAATCTCGGCGGAACAGGAGTGTCTATGTTCTTTCTTACGTGCGTGCGCTCGGATTGTCTCCATCTGCATTGCCAGCTGCTCAAGTCACCGCTCTCCAGGGCAATTATCTCTCAGCTCGTGTACTCGGCAGGTGGAAGCGGATTCGCGGGCGGGAACGGCAGCATGATGATAGAAGTTGTGGTGCGTTACGTCTGATTATCGTAATGAACAGGTCCATAATATTCCCACCGGCTGCAGCCGTTCTTCCATATTCTCGCTAACAGTATCGCTGCCGACATCGGTGAAGACGATCCGCATGCTATTTTGGCAACCACAATTGTGGCGTTCGCGTTGTCCTCGATCCTCACGGGTACGTAGCAACTTGGCCTTTCCATAACTTGCGCTGATCGCTGGAAAGGACTCACATTTTTTCTGCTTGGCGCATTACGGCTAGGAGCACTGATCGGCTTCTTCCCGCGACATATACTTGTAGGGTACGCCTATTCAGCCGTTCTCCACCTTGTGATGGTTCTGTTGACGTACAAACAGCTGCATAGGCGGTGTCGGCGTCTTCCTCATCATCACAGGGCAAGTCACATGCGTTCGCGCGCACATGTTCGCTAACTCTATTAATGCATGCAGGTTCTCCGTGAGCACGCGCATGGACGACGATGATTTCGACTTCAGCTTGGCCACACTGAAGTTCTTGTTCCTGAATGTGCATAATCTCGCGCTATGGATGTCTGCGTTTGGGTTGGCGGCACTGCTGCGCATCATTTCGCACAAGTATGAGCATCAGCTCATCTTTCCGCTGTGTGAGTCTTTTACACCGTTTTTGGTCCATATAATGACGGTGTGCTGACGGCGTGTTCTAGATTTCATGATCATCCCGGCAGTTTTCTATATCGTCGTTGCCGCTGGTCATATGGACCTCGGCAACCTACGGCAGAAGGGATGGCTATTTGACATGGGCACTGCACATGAGCCCTGGTATCATTTCTATTCGCTGTTCGGTGCGTTGATCGGCGGGATCACTTTGTTAATCGATGCTTATCATGCGTCTCGCTGTTAATAGACTTCAAAGCTACTAGATGGTCGGTTCTTTGGTCAACGTTGCCTACGCAATTTGCACTGTGAGTGTTGTGCCGTGGAGTGGAGTTCACGTGTTCACGGGTATCGGCAAGGCTGTTCTTCAACATACTACATCCGCCACTGAATGTCCCGGCACTAGGTGAGCGCGTCGATGTCCGCATGTCTGCTGACGCTGCATTAAGCTCATTGTGAACTTCAGCGGTATCTTTGAATCATGACGTCAACACGGATAAGGAGCTGGTTGCACATGGCTACTCAAATCTTCTTGCTGGTGCTCTAGGCACGGTGTAAGTAGTTTTGCGATCCGTGCTGGCAGCATACTGATGACCACGCTCAGGCCAAACTATCTCGTCTATGTCAACACGGTGCTGTAGGTCTGTTCATGAACCAGATGATCGCATCGCTAATATGCAAGACAGATTCTATCGCGTCGGTGGAACGACGCGTGTATCTAGTTTTCTTCTGGCAGGCGCCACGACGGTTCTGCTTGTCATTGGCACAGGACCGATCGCATATATTCGTAGGTTACCTCCTCATGTTCTTGACGCATCGTCTGATTCAGTAAATGCAGCGGTGATGGTCGTTGGAGCGCTGATATTCGTGCTTGGTATCGATCTGGTGAAGGAGGCGCTCTGGGACACCCGACATCGAGTTAGCAGGTTTGAACGCTCCAATCGATCCTTGTCCGCATATAGTTAGCTCATTCGAGTGCAGGACAGAGTACATCACGATCGCCAGCATCATGGTCTGTATGACTGTGTGGGACTTTGTTATCGGTGTGCTGTTCGGCATCATCGTCAGCTGTGCGTTTTGCCGCGAAACTTATTTCGATTTGCTCTGACCATGCTTGATTTAGGTTTCTTCTTTGTCATTCAAAGCTCGCAGAGGAGGAGCATACGCACGTTGTATACTGGCCAGACGGTGATGTCGACTGTGCGCAGACCGGGTGCACATCGTGCGTACATACGTGAGGTCTCCAAGCAGACGACGATTTTGCGCTTGCAAGGTGCTGTCTATCAACCCGTTACTAACTTGATCAATGTGCAAACGTCTCATACGGCGACATCTTAGGATTCCTGTTCTTCGGGACCATCACGCATGTCGAAGGTACGATTCGGATGCTGGTCGAGGGCCCTGCGTGGCAGCGTAATCCTATGCGCTTTCTCATTGTCGACTTGTCGCTCGTCGCGGGAGTGGACATGTCAGCCGCAGAGGCATTCGTGCGAATCCAACGTCTGCTGGCAGGGAGAAAGGTCACACTTGTCTTCTGTGGGTTCCCTTTGGACTCGAACGTGGGCAAGTCTCTACACAACGTTGGCTTGCTGGACATGGATGGCGTCGAGCTCTTTTCTACGTTCAATGATGCCCTTGAGTGTGAGTCGGCGTACCCCGTATGATCTGCGAGACTGAGCTTATGATGTGATGCTGCAGGGACTGAGAACGTCTATCTGAGGACGTGGTTCAATGCGCAGAAGGCCGAGCCACAGACGATAGGTAAGTGACTATGCTCTTTGCACAGAATACGCAGACTCACGATGTCTTAGTATTGCCCGGTAGGCAGGATGCCGCAATTGCTTTCCAGGAATCAATGTCGGCGACGCCCAGAAGACTGCACCTGCTGAATGCTGGGTGGGAGACCATCGCCCGAGGTAAAAGATAGCTATCTGTCGTGATTGCTGGTTTCCTGAACTTATTATCTCCATTCAGATCATTCTCCACCGGACGCCGACGTGGCAGATGCTGCTGAGCCATACAATACGCTCGTCAAGGCGTTCTCAACATATGGCCCTGTCGACCGCCAACAATTCGCACCACTTATGGTGTACCTCCAGAGGATATCTCTGCCAGAAGGCACAGTCCTGTGGTATCAAGGCGACGATCCAGACGGTCTGTATCTTGTCGAATCCGGCGTGCTCAGAGCGGTGTATCGCTTCAACGAGCACACCGCGCCCACGGAGGAGTCCATGGTTCCGGGGACAATCGCAGGTGAACTGTCCGCGCTTTCTGGCCTGCCACGAAACGCTACCTGTGTGGTGGAACGGCAGGCAGTGCTCTGGAAGCTGAGTGTTGAGGACCTGCATCGGCTGGAGGTGGAGCATCCAGAACTGGCTAGGGAGTTTACTCGGTTGGTGCTGAAAGGTACGTTGTTCGACTACGTCCAGTTGTCCCACTGGTCCTGAAGCCCTCCTAATAGCTGCGAAACTTGATTACGACATTTTGATATCCGCATTGGCATGCCGACAATGAGCTATCTGAAATGCTCACACATTTGGATGATCTATCACAGAATTGTATTGCTGTATCATACCCAATAGACACGTAGACATTCCTGCATCACCCATATACATTGTCAGACATATCCAAGCAAGCCCTGTTCTACACCTGGCTTGTGAGGCCTGACCAGTAACCCCGCCAACCTGAGGCCGTGACTTGGTTAAGCTCATCGGAAAGCTGTAGCAGCAGTGCTGATGAAACCTGTACATTTTTTTTCGTGCTGTAGTAGGCGAGCGCTTTCCTTGTCAGAGGCGTGACCCCTGTGACCACAATGAATGTGACTGAGCGCGAATCGTATACGCGACGCCGCCGTCACGGTCTAACCATCGCTCTACCAGACTCGACGACTCCCTCAGTTGTTGCATCCTCGTAGCTGGGTGCGAACATGTCGAACACAATAACCCTGTGAGCACAGTTTGACTTATTTCTGTATTTCTTTCCCAACACTGATAATTTGTAGCTATCCGCTCTCCAACTTCACGTTCAGGTATGTTGAGCAACGTTTGTTACGCAACGCCTTGACCAATATGGTGTGTTAGCACAAAGGAGGCACAACCTGAAGAAGACCCATCTGTATCTGCACGACTTCAGCGGCTGCAAAACAACTATGAAGACTTTGGCATGCGACGAACCGTGGAGGGCATTCTGGTGGTGCATGACCATGGACACCCTCATATCCTGATGCTGCAGATCGCCAACGCCTTCTTTAAGCTGTGGGTCTACTCATACCTTGTATGTGACTCGTTAACTTCATGAGCCTAGTCCTGGTGATTACTTGAAGCCGGGGGAAGACGAAATCGAAGGGCTGAAGCGCCGCTTAGATGAACGCCTCGCACCTCCGACCGACTCTCGCCAGTTTAACGCGTCACATGGGGTAGATAATGAATGGGAGATTGGTGATGTTCTTGCACAATGGTGGCGTCCGAATTTTGAGACATTCATGGTACGTTCAATTCCTTGTCCCGCCAGGGAACGCTCTGGGAGTCCTGATCGCATTCTTGTCCCATGTGTAATCCTCGAAATCATCAGTATCCATTCATTCCTACACACATTACGAAGCCGAAGGAGTGCAAGAAGCTTTTCCTGGTGCAAATGCCCGAACGCAGTACGTCTGTATTCCTTCGTCGCGCCTGTACAGATTCTTACATTAAGCGCGGGCACGTTATAGAGGTGTTGGCTGTACCTAAAAACATGAAGCTCCTGGCCATCCCTTTGTTTGAACTCTATGATAATGCTGCGCGGTAAGCCCCCAGGATCATTTAAATAGTTCGCTTCTAATTCTTGATAGGTATGGCCCTCAACTGTCAGCAATACCTCATCTCCTGTCTCGGTGAGTGTTGCGCTCATTAGCTATGTCAGCAAGCTGACTTCCTGCAGATACAATTTCATTTACCAATGATTCGACGGAGATGGTGGTATTGTAGTATTTGCACTTTCATTCCTTTTCGTTCTCTGTTGTGAGTTCTACCATGTCACCAGCAATCGTTCTTGTAATCACTTTCGGTTTCACTCGTGTGTGGATTGTGATGGCCTGAATTGCGTTGTAGCATAATCCTAAGCTGTATTCCATGATTCACTGCTTTGACTTTCGCAAGTACTACGGGGTGAATTGCTCATTAGTATGTGTATTCTCTATTTCATTTGGCGGGCATTTCAGGTGGTACATGCTGACCGTTTCGAGCAGATAACTGTCTAGCATGGATCTAGTACACGCGAAGTCAGCGAATGCTGTCCAATAGTCGGGAAGAATTGACGTCACATCGTCATCAACCAGCTTTCCCCAACCTTAACCTGCGAAAGGGTGTTAAATCTGTAGCGGCTTCGGACGGGACGCTTTGCAGAACTACATATACTCTTGATCTCACAACCCAAAGAATAACAGCCCATGGGAGGAGCGCGCTGCATTCCATCGAATCCATTATGCACCATCCATTCACTGGGATTGCAGACTTCCTGTGTCCTCCACGCATTCTCTCCAGATTTATCGAGGCGCCGCACTCACTGAGCAGCTTCGCGCCCAAAGTGCGGATTGATGGAGGAGCGGCATGAAGTTGTCGTGCGCATTGCTGATTCTCTTGGGCAATTTGGCGGTCTAATCGTCGCAGCATCACGAGCACCAGCTTCCTGTCGGAGCCGGCAAAATAAGCACCTGTTGACTCCGTATTGCGGCTGTTGACTCGCTTGAGCTGGTATGCAGTTTCGGATGCAGGTTGCACAGCCAGTCTGATTGGCTTTCATGCAGTGTGAAAATAAGGATATACCTACCATGGAAGGTCGATCAGCATGAAGCATTCAAGAACGAGTGCGCATGGGATGTCACATTGGCCAAAATCCGCCGAAAATCGCTGTTACGGCCACAGTGTAAAGAAAGTAGCGTTGTGGCCACTCCTAAAGAACAAGCATGGAGTCTGGCCCTAGCGTGAGGTAGTAGCTCACTATTGTTTCATAGCTCTCTTGAAAACGGTTTTTAACAAGACTGCAAGATGCACGGCTGGTGCCTTTGCATGGTCTGCACCCACGATACACATCGACCTCATGGTCGTCCCTTCCATGTCAAGCGAGAGCCAGAACAAAATGGTATGCTCTATTCGTGGACGAAGGATGGTCTCTGGACGTCGGTAAGCCTGAACATCGAAGCATTCCGTTCTGTTCATACATATTTTCCGTAAGGCTATGGATTGCTTTGGCATACTCGATTCTGTGTACCCCAAGACATTTTTATCAGCATCCAAGAGCCTCCCCTACTCTGTGCTTGAGCACAAAACTGAACGCTTAAGTGTGCTACCACAACGGCTCTCGACGGCGATGCGCTCGCCTTGTATGGGACCGAGCAACCATGCGAGGTTCGACCCACTTGACCATTAGTCGGTTTCCGCGATTGCAGTGAGGTTTCGTTAAGGCACAACGTGTCCCGAGCTTGCGGTCGGCCTCTTTCCAAATACGGATCACCAATTGTTCGCCACAGGCCGCAGCCGCTCCGACCATCACGTTTACGAGAAATTGCCTGCGGCGTCCAGTGGCACTGGGGCCACTAAGCCCTGTGGCGGAGGATTCACTGCCTCACCACTGCCTCACCGTGGGGATATAAAGGACCTGCCACGCATGATCCGCCGTCCCCATCACACCACATCCTCGTCTGTCTCCTTGGCACCAAACGCATCCTGACTGATCAAAAGTTTGACTCACTATGCCTTCTATCAGTAAGTGCACTTGTACTAGCATCGGCTTCTGTCATCTCACCCTTCTGCAGACCTCGACGGATTGGACAACAGAGTCATACGCGCATTACGCGAATTCGTGGCGCACTTGCGCAACTCAAGAAGAGACGTCCAAATTGTTGCTGTCAATGCCCTCGACAACATATTCGCACTTCTCAATCCACTTCAGTGAGTTTCAACTGTGGCTTGTGTAACGCAAGCTCGCGTGCACCAGAACTTTTACACTGTGGCTGCCCAGACTTTCTGTCGAGTCGGACGGCGATGATTCTGGTGGTTCTGAGCACGGTGCTGACAACGATGCTGTGGATCTCTTGCACGCCACAAATGCAACGGTTGCGAGATTGATGTATGGTGCATCGAATCGCGAAAATGCTCCAGCCGGTAATGCTCACGACATTGTGTGCTTATATCAAACACTGACTGTTCTGTAGCTGCAGAGCAGCACTCTGAGCACAGAGGCTCAACACATTCTTCACAATCGTCTCACTCTTATCCTATCGGTGACTTTGCCGATGGTTTCAACGTGGCCGAGCCCTCAAGCATTGTTCCCTATGCAGCGGCTTCTGGAGAGTCGAGGCAGCTGTCTTCGAGGGCACCTTCGCCGCCACCGGTAGCTTCAACGTCGCGAACCTCACTGGTTCCCCAGTTGACTCAGCGCAGCGGTGAGTCTGTTCATAGAACTTATCAAACGATATTAAGATACATCAATATGTCAGATTGGCTGTCCGGCAGAGCGAGTCAACCTCAACTGCAGAGTCCTGTCCCTTTGCGCCACACGCATAATCCCTTTCGGTCGTCGCGTCCTGGAATTTTCTACGAGGAACAATACCATCCGATCGCCCTCAGAGAGAACCGTAAGCACGGAGACGTAAGAATCACACTGATAGCTGACCAGTGCTTAGGCTCCGTCAGTGCTATGAATCCATCCCATCCTCTTCTGATTAGTTTTTCCGACTACGCCGACTCAGTTGCTCGCCCCGGCAGTCAGCCATACCATGCTATCTCACTTACCGGTGCATTCAACGAAGTGCCGTCGAACGTTCCGTGGTTGGCACCTCCTCTGCTTGATGCCCGAAGGCCACTTTCTGGTATGTCATGCGGAATTTGACGAATAAGCTTGGCTCACACTGCGGGTTATGCTTGTTATATAGCACCTACCGGCGTTGTCAACTCAGAGCAGGGGAACAGACTGTACCAGGAACGGCTCGCTGATTCGGATGATGCTCCTTCATTTCCTACCCTGGCGGTAGAACCCGCTGGACGTACCACTGCGGAGTCTCAGGCCACCGCTATAAAACAAGAAGAAGCAGAAGTTGATGAATTAGACAGCAGCGATGAGGAACGAGCTGTGGCTTCCCCAGATGAGAATGCTGTAAACAATCCCGAGGCCGCGCTTCCTACGGGCAGTTCTCGCTCCGACTGGGTGACTGTCACTCCAACGAGACAGTGGAGAACACAGGTGGACTGGAACAACGGTATTGGGGCTGGAGATCATACAGAGAGTGGAGATGAGACGAGCTCTCCAAGTGCAGAATCCGACTCTCCCGGGGGAGACATCCTGCCACAATTCCCTCTCACACAGAATCGCCGCAATGAACGCTCACAAGGTCCTTCTCCATCTCCGCGCATTAGAACTCGTCCGCCTCCTCGCCTCGCGCATCTCTTGGAGCTTACGGGAAGTTCTTCCATAGCGTCCTCTGACGCGCCCGTTGCCGGCCCAGGCCCATCCACGCTTGCGAGTCGTGATACGAGGAGCCTTCGTTCTTCGCACATGGAATCAATTCTGTCCCTTGACCGTTCTCCTACACGACCTCAAACGTTTTCAGCGATCGAGCTACCCAGCCCTGTGTCGCACAATCACTACGCTGATCATCAACTGCTCTCGCCTCTTCCTGTACCTCTTCCCGCTACGCCTGCTCATTTTCCTCCGGCTTCCCTGTCGCTAGTCTCCCCTGCGGGCCATGACGCACTCTTGCCTGCACCTCATCAAGCACTTCCTCATATTCCCCTTGCTGTGGACCCTCCTTCTCTCCGCGGCTCTCCTTCGTCGCTCCACGAGCCTCTCCGTTCACAAGTCGAGGCATCTTCTGTTGCGGACGCTGCCCTCGCGAGCGGTCTATCGCATTCACCTCTCGTGCTTCCCCCACTGCCCTCCACTGATATGGATCCTGCCGCAGAACCTTTTACACTCCATCAACCTCTCTTTCCGATCGGTCTATCTAACCGTTCTCTTCTCAACCCATCTCCCGCTGCGAATGTCTCGGATGCCAGCGGCACGATCGCCGGCACTTCTGCAAATGAGGACGTTGTTAGGAATGAGCATGGTGCTGTTGAGCCTGTTGCTGGCAGTTCTTCTCAGCCGATGAGGAGGGTCCTTCGTCCTCGCGGCACAAAGCGTCCAAGAGATGACAGAGATGATGAAGAGAACCAACCTGAGGAACCGGTTGCGGGTAGTTCTACCGATATAAGGCAGAAGAAGCCTGCGCCCCGCAGTCGGAAGCGTTCAAGAAATGATACAGATGAATCAGGTGCGACATCCGAGGCGAAGTCCAAGAAAGGTAAGGGTAAAGCTCCCGCGAAACCACGGCGACGGTAGACATGTTGAGGAGGGCTCCTTTGGGACAGTTCAATGTGCTGACTTACTATTTTATCCTACGATGCATCTTTAATGTGTGTAATATTTGATACCCTTGATCCAATTCTTTTGTTCACTCGCCGGCATGATCATAAGCAAATGGTCTTACTCAAAACGTTGCCGGCTTCCCTCCCATAATCTCCCTGCTGGAAGCCTGTCTTCAGCGAATACTACACTTTCCTTATTAGGTTGAGGGACTCGGCCTTGGACTCAGCCTCTGACTCGTGCTTCACGATGAAGGGACCCTGTCGGGCACCTGTGTATGCCCAACGAGACCATGTCTCTCGTCATTCTCACCGCATCCGATGTCGCAAATGTCACGTCCACTTTCAGCCCTACTGAGCTCACTGAACTCATGGCGCGTGTTTTCTTCCATTTGTCTAAGCCACCGAGTGCAAAGATATGTCAGCCTCACCGTGCCAATGTCTCAATGCTGAACCATACGGCCCTATTCATGCCATCACGACTCTACCCCATGGGCACCGCAGTGAAGATTGTCTCGGTTCCATCTGCTAGCGCGCCTCAAGCAGTGAAGGAAGGTGGACTGCCTGCGACCTCGCTTGTTCTTGACGAGCAATCTGGAGGCGCTAAGGTCATCGTCAACGCGAGGAGCTTGACAGCACTTAGAAATGCAGCCGGTCAGTAAAATAACAGCTATTCATGCATACCATAGTTCCACGTTTAAGACGGATATCGCAAGAGATATTTTCTGAAAACCATTGTTCGCACCTCAGACTCATGCAGTTTTTGACAGGATCTCTGTTGGCAACAAGACTGCTCTACAATGCTGAGGAGCCTCCCAAGACTCTTCTCGCTCTTGGTGCGGGAGCTCAGGTCGCCGCGCATATCTCGTTGTTCCTCACCGCATATCCGACCATCCGCTCGTGTTTCATCCTCAATCGTTCGCAGAATAAGCGGCTTGAGGACCTCGCTACTCGTGCACGCACCGAACATCCTGCCGTCAATTTGCAAATAGGCACTCTATCACAGGCTCCCAACTCCGACAGGAATGAACTCACGTTAGAAAAAGCGGTCCGGAGCGCTGACATTATCATCACGGCCACATCATCCACTGTCCCGCTCTTTCCCTCTGAACATGTGAAGTCCGGTACTCACTTATGCCTGATTGGTTCGTACACCCCGCAAATGTGAGTGTTTCTTGCTCTCTTCCACCTACTTCATCCGGTCGACGGATGTATCCTATCTTTCTCATAATTAACGCAATTTATGTAGGCATGAAGTGGATGGCGACCTTGTCAAGCGTGCGGGGAAAATCGTCGTTGACTCCAAGTTCGCCTGTCTGGTACGTCAGAAAGGTATCTTTACATGAGCAAGCTCATTATCAGCTGGCCATATCGCATCAGAGCGAGGCAGGTGAATTGATCTCTGCAAATCTCGGCGAGTCAGATCTCGTCGAGCTGGGTGAGCTGTTGCACTACGAATCTGATGAGCCTGCCGATGGTGCAACTTATGCTCCGCGAACGGAGATGGTCCGCAATGTAAGAAACAGCGGCGAAGTGACCATCTTCAAGTCCGTTGGTGTGGGTGTTCAAGATGTCGCAATTGCTGCGGCAGTTGTCGATCGAGCAAATAGCTGTGGCGTCGGGCTGAAGGTAGATAACTACGATGGCAATGTCTGAATTTGATGATCGGGTGGAGTAGAAGCGCGTCTTTACAAGATCTGGGCATTCGCTCACTCATTATTCGTATATAATCAGATCATAAATACTCTCGTGTGAGCCTTCTAGTCTTTGCAGACCAAGATCTCTCGCGACAACGACAAGAAATGCTTTGCATATAGTGTCGTGCATACTCAGTGACACGAAAGCAGCGCATCACAGCGTGAATCCAAACTCAACGACATGAAAACGATAACCCAGACCAATACAGGAATTGAACACATCAAGGGTCTAAGAAACGTTGACTCAGCGGTGCAAGCAAGGCCAGCAAGAGCACGATACAGAGCGAAGATAATATGAAAAGGAGCAGATGTTGCAAACAGTATATATCAAGAAAGTTCGCCACCCATACTAAGCCACTCCCTACGCATTTCCTCACGATACGACTCCAATCTTGCAAACATTTCTTGGGCCATGCGGTTCAACGCTTCCTCCCTATGCGTTAGTTCTATGTCTTTCTTACAGATCTTCTCCGCGTTCTTTCTGTTCTCTTCTCCCTGTCGTTGGATCTCCCGCTCTCTCGCGCGCAACTCGACTTCTCTGTTGCGAAGTGCGCCTGGCATCCTCCTTCTGTCCTCGTCCACATGCCTACTCTCCATTTCCTGCTCTCGCATTGCTAGCTCTTGTTCCCTCCTTTTCTGCTCCTCCTCCTGGAGTGACAGCAATTCTGCCGTCTTGCGCAACTCTTCCTCTTTCTTGCGTAACTCGTTCCCCGTCCACTTACCATCTGTAGCTTTTTTCGCAAGGTCCTTGGATTCGTTTTTGATCGCATCTTGCTTGCTTGCTGCTGCTGGCGTCCTAGCCCAACTATCTTTCCTTTGCCGTGTCTCTGCCTGCCGACGAAGCTCTGCCTGTTCCCTGGCAAAGCGTGCCTCCGGTTCCTTGAGACGGTGTTCTTCCTCGAATGCACGCTGTTCTTCGGCTTTTTTCCTCTCTTCCTCGAGACGTCTGGCTTCCCGCTCCTCCTGAGCCTCCTGCTCCTTCTGCTTTCTGACCTCGTCCTCCTTCTGTCTTGCTTCCTCTGCCTTGCGCCTCGCCTCCTCCCTGCGCTTCGCTTCTTCCTTACGCTTCGCTTTGCCGACCTTTGCCGGCTTCTTCTGCACCTCCTGTGGCTCCTCCACAAGGTCAACCTCAGCTTCGTCTGGCACCTCCGTCACCGTTACCCCTTTCGGTTGCTCCAGAGGCTGGGCGGCGGGCTGCGCTGCATATTTCTCGTGTATTGCTTCCACTCCCTCCAGGATGGAAGGAAGGTCCGCCGAAATGATCTTGTCGAGTTCCTCTTTATCCAGCTCGGTGAACTCGGGAGCTTCCCAATCGCTGTCGCCCTCGTCAGCATTAATCATCTCAATCCCCTCCGGCGTTAGAGCCGATGAGCGGCCCGACTGCCCTTGTGCCATGCGGTCAGAGCTGGTTTGCGTAGGATGTTGGAAGGGGTGGGTCCCCGCGTCAGACATGCTAGCCTTGCCTAGGTTTGCGTAGGGGATCATTGGAGATAGTATGCTCCGACTGTCGTCGTCAATGGTGAAAGTGCTAGGATCGACGGGTTGCATGTCGGAGGAGGATGGCGGAAGCCAATATTCTGCGTGTGGGACATGTACGGCTGGGCGATTCTCATTCTCGAGCGTGCCGGTAAAGGGGGATCCGAAGATTGGCGGACGTGACGGATGAACGTCTTCTGCGGCACGTATGCCCGTCCTCAGCGGGTGCGGCACCCCTGGTTTCGGCGTAGTAGACTGTGATCGCTCTGCGAGGTGAGGATACAGGTGAGCAGGAAATTGTCGAGGTAGTTGTGGAGTCCTGGCAGTTTCCTTAGCGTGCACATTCATATCGCCGTTCATCAAAGTGCGGGCCAAATCCCGCAAATTCGCATCACTGAGGACCTCGCTCAGGTCATTGTTCGCATAGTCGCGCGAACCTGATGGGACAGCTGAGACGAAGGGTTGAGGAGCGTGTCGCTGGCTATCGCTGGAATGCCGCGATCGGCTGGGAAGCGAGGCATTCGGATGCAAGCCCTGGAACACGGTTCCGCTGTCATGCACGCCTGCGGATCGCCATGCGTCCAGATTGAGTGGTGTGCGAGATCGCAAGTGCCCTAACGAATTCACGGCTCAATCGCAGTGAATCTTGGGAGCATCGGATGCTGTCAAGCTTACCATGACCGAAAGGAGAGCGCCCCAATTCGGACCATGCATTACCTTCTGTACGCTGAGATTGTTCCTCTTCGTAAGAACCCGGCATAGCAAAGCTATCGCCAAACGCCGGTTCGTTCGAAGGAGGCTCCTCTCGTGAAAGATTGTTGGGGGGCCAAGCAGGTGGCCCCGCTCTTGATGGCCCGCCGATAGCGTCAATGGTCTCGGTGCGCCTATACAGAAAATCGGGTTCTTGCAATCCCTCATTTCTCCTCGTGATGGCTCTCCAGATCGTGTCCTGCCGTTGTATGGATGACTCGTCCAGCTGTTGACCCGGCGATGGCCTGGCACCTCGGCGATACTGCCCCATCGCTTGCTCAAAACGCTGATCAGCAACTCTACGAAGCTGCGTAACATTCCTGCGAAACTCCCTCTCTGCCTCATCAGGACCCACGCCGTTCTCCAGAGCTTCCTCCTTTGCTTTCTGATGTTGCTCGAAGCGCGGCCTGAGCTGATGCTCTATCTCCTTCCTGAGTTGCTGTTGCAGTTCCGAACTGGAAGGGATGGGATTGCCATGCGATGGAGTATTGTGCTCCGTAAAATGTCGTGATTGACCAAACGTAGCGTACCGCGAGCCCATAGTACGGATCGATGTGAAGAACAAGAGCGCAGCGTCTACTATTGCTAAGTGATTATGCCCGGTGGCCTGATCCAACGAGTCCTCAGTCAGTATCTGAGACGCTCGTGCCTCATGGCCTGCACGTTGTTCACATCGATCTCCGATGCTCTTCCAGTGTTTCCCATGCATTTCAACCTAGGCGCGCATTGCGCTGGCTGGAAATTGCTATGTCAAAACGATCAATGCGATTTCATGCGTATGATGCGCAGGATCTTTCGAGAGACTGTCTTCCTGGTGCAGCGCAGAGTACGTTCCAGGAGAGCCCTCCTCTCCGGTTTCTTTAGTCAGCATATTACCGGAAGCGGTAGGAACACAATTCGTTGAAGAGTCAAATGAATGGAAGACGCATCGAAAGAGCGGAGTTCGTAGTGTAAAGTCCTGGGTCATATACAGCTTTTGTCCATGCTGTTTAACGTACCACCATCGATTATTTGACCACACCACAAGACACAAGACCACTTGGAGCAGGAGGCTTGAACAACGAAACTAGTACGCGCAGGCTTGCATGAGGTTTGCGACCGGTGCATGGAGGTTGAACGTTGAACGTTGAAGCTGAGCGCTGAAGCTTATAGAAACGCGGTCACGTGTGTAGTACTCGGCAGAACGCGGCCTGTGTGATCTGCAATGCGCGCTTTACCAACTCGTCCGCTTGATTCATTGAACGTTGGGTTCAAAACTTCAAGACTCATTCAACGAACTGAAACTTCTCTCAACAGCTATTTCTTGCGCTGTGCTCTGTCACGTCTATGGCTTTTTTTGTTTACATCTCAGCTCCGGCATGAGGGGGATTACCCCGGGTCGTACAGGCCTGGCCCAACGTGGATTGTCATCAAGTTAAAAGGGTGTGATCATGCTGTCCGGACTCCGACGCCATACAAAATTACAGTATCTTCTCTTCCCTGCTGCTTCTTTGCCATACTCCGTCTCTGCATTGCTCTTCTGAGTCTTGAGCGCAGTCCTAGTCATGTAATGGTCCTGGTTCAAGCGTTGCGTATGATTCGGTGAACCCTCCAAACGGTATATGTTTTGTACTCAGCGTCAATCTGGAGGAGTCCCCGGACTTTCATGATCTGCAATCACTTGGTCCGATTGGAGTCGGATCATGACAGCATAAGCGGGTGCCTGCCAAAGTTCCAAGTTCTCAGTGTACCCGAGCGTGTCCATCGTGCCACTCCAAAGTGAATACGGTGTGTGAACCCAGTTTCCAAACAATCCCTGATATGCTTGGCACTGACCCCGGGAAACTGATCCGCTGGCTCGCAATCGGACTACTTTCTCCGCGCGGGATCGGCAAAAGAACGTTTGTCACTCCCGCTCCCGACGGTCCGAGGACTTGAATAGACTTGAATTGTGTCGCTCTGTCAGCGTACCATTTGTGTGAAGAATTGACGCTGACATGAGCAGTGTTAACACCGGTATACGACAACTACTGTGCGTTTGTATGTTTCTTCATCCTACCGACTAACGCACGCTATTCACAGAATGTACATTTTGAGTACAGTGTCACGATCTAAGATACAAGGAGGCTCCCTTAGCAAGAAGCTCCTTTTGACATAGGGCCGTGAATTTCATCCGAAACAAAACTGCATCCTCGGGAAGATGTCATCCAGTCGGACAACGAGCTGCTACGAGCGCCTACTTGTCTTGGCAGGAGAGTAATTGCAATGCCTATATGCCCATTCCATCCTGTGCGGCATGCTCAGGGATTTATAAAAGGTGCCAAAAGGACAGATTCCCCAGTGCAATTCCCGAGTTCACTCCTCATCACTTTTCGTCTGCGGATTGTAATTGACCATGGTCAAGTTCGCTACTCTTGCGTTTGTCACTCTGCTTAGTACCGCAGGAGCCATGGCAGCTCCGAAAATTGCCGCCGTGAGTGATCCTGTCATCCCGGACATGCTTCCTCGATTCTGACAGGAGTGACAGCGGACTGTGGATCCCGCGTGCCCGGTCACCTACACCACAACATTCGTCGAGACGCTCAGCATTATCGCGCCTACGACGACCGGTCCGTTCGAGACCACGACGATCACGGAGACTGAGGTCAGTTATCCTTTGGCGACGACAACGGAGGTTGAATCGAACGGCGAAACGACGTACACCGTGACTTACACGTATACGAATTTCTTTGGCGACCCGCCGTACCCGAGCGATTGTTACGTGAGTGGCCTGCCTGCCACATGCAGGAAAACGCTGACATCCAGGTACAGTCTTCTTGAAGGATATGGCTCTGTCCCGGACAGGAGACGCATTAGGACACAGCTTGAAAGCATGCGGTTTGTGTGGCAGAAATGACTGTAATAGACTTGAGGCGCAATATTCTGTAATGCACGCATTCTTGAGATTGATGTCGTAGGTGTTACCTTTATCGGCAACTTGACAGTTCAGCAAGCAGGATAAATTCACTGTACAGTAAGCAAGGAGATAAAGTTCACAAATACATTCCAGCAAGTAGATTCCTGAGAAATAGTCTCTGTCAGTGCAACTTATGTTCGGCATCCTGCAAGGGCAACACGACACTTCAACACGCAATTAGCGAACCCTCCTCCGCTTGGGCCGCGGTCCCTCCTTCTGGGCTGCCGGACGGTCCTCTGTATCATCCCCGTTAACCCTCTGTCGTTTCCTCCGAGACGGCTTCGCAACAGCAGGCAGCTCGACAGCTCCGCCTGTAGTCTTCCTCGTTCGGCGCTTGTTTCCCTTGTCAGGCAGCGGCAGCGCAGCTTCTTTCGTGACAGGCGAAAGTACTTGAGTAGCACCATGCCCTTTCGCATCCGCCAGATCCCACGCTCTAGGTTGTACGGGCAGCCGTGCAGTGGGGCTATAGGGGATCGCAGTACGGGTTCCATTGTCCGCACGAGCCTTGCCCTTTTCATCGCGTAGGCGTCTGGAGCGTCGAGGGGGAGGAACGTATGCCCCGCTGGCGGATTGCGGATACTGCAACAGTTCGTCATAGTCGAAGTCGTAGTGAAAATCATCGGGATTTGGTTGTGCGAGGGCCTGTCGCGGTTGTACGGTTTTCTCAGATTGCTCAGCGGTTTCACGTTGTGGTGTGCCTGCGATCGGAGTCACCAGGGGAAGGTTCTCAGGATCGAAGGTTATGCGCAGGGGGAACGCTGTTAGAATCTGAATGATCTCGGAAAGAGTCAGTTGGCCGACGGGCTTCGATGGGATCGAGAGCTGGAGGCGATAGATGGAAGGGCCGGCTTTGGAAGCATCCTTATCGGCAGCTTCCCCTTCGATCGGCTCTTTCGATGTAGCTGCTTGCGCAGTCTGCGCTGCAACAGTCGATGGACCAGGACCGCCCTCCCCGACAGGATCGGAAGCGGGTTGCAGCTCTTTGAACAGAGCCTCAGCTTCTTCCATGTGAGGACTGCTCCAAGTATGAGTTAAGGTTTTGAACTCGAAGATGTCGTGAGACTCACGTCAGCTGCTTGACGATCTTCATGGAGCTGGTAATCGTAGCAACCGCATTCTCGCTCTTTTCCCAATGCTTTGAGAACGTCTGCTCGTTGAGGTTTTCCGCCGCCTTGAGACGGTCGTCTACCACGGCGTCCGTTGCATGCACTTCTTGAAGCATCTGACGAGCTTCGTCGTGCGTGCCAACAATCTTCTCAATGCACACTTTGATGTACTCATTATCGAGACTCGTTGTTCGTTCAGCGCTTTCCCGGTCGTTCAACGCAGATGTCGTCTCTGCCGCGTCCGCGCCCGACTCACGAGCGACCTTCTCGAGTCGCATCGCAAGGTCGACCTCCTTTAGAACATCCGGGAATGCTTGGTCGGTAGCCGCATCAGCGTACCAATTAGTCCCGGAAATGCGGATTTGTCCTTGCAGCTCTAAACCCTCTCGGGCGAGCGACTCAGACATAACCGTAGGTGGCGCGCGCGAGTCTTGAAGTAAACTGGCTGTCAAACCAGCTAGCGGGCCTTGCACGATAGGCTGTTTGGCTGAGTTGTTGTTGTTTAATTTCTGGAAACCATTCAGGACAGCTCGCAGCCTCCGCCTATACACCGAAAGCGGCCATTAAGTCGCCGTCACGGATGTAGGATACAGGTGGCCACTTACTCGAAGCCTGACACGGCGCTCGAAGCGTTCAGAGCGATTCGTTCGATAACAGTCGATGATTCCTTCACACTCTTGAAATTCTCGTCGATGCTCTTGCTGAGGGATTCGATCCGCTTGAGGTGTTCTCGCTGGTTGGCGGAGAGGTAACAGACCAACAGCCTCATTGCTTCGACCTGTCCCATGAGGAAGTTAAAGACATCTTCGACAGACCTGATTCCGGTGAGGTCGGTATGCTTCTCGTCCAAGCGCGCGATATTGACCAAGGTTTCGATTGACTGTGGCGCGAAATGAATCCGCTTCGAGCCTGGCTCGATGCGCACCTTCGTGTCGTCTTCGAGTGTGAGCTCAGTGGGCTCTACAGCATCGGTAGGAAGGAAGACGAAAGGGACCATTGAGACGAACACTTGGGCGTTGGATGGAGGTTGAGTACAAGGGAGCACGATGCCACAGCGTTCGTTGATGAACCAAGCGTCTTGGCCACCGGAAGAACAAATAACCCCACATAGGCGTGTCTGATGGCACGAGCGGACTGGAATCAATTTCTGATCGACCACACTGATGCTTCTTAAATCAATTACAGATGGCATGTATGAGCTGCGACTTTCCGCCCTTAACGATGTGTCAACTCTTGTTCAACCTTGCAGCTCATACGTATATTATTTTCGGTTCATTATGAACTGAGCTTTTGGATTCACCATGTCTGAATGGAACGTTCGTTCATCATGATGGTCACAAGACATTACAATAGAGTCCGCGCGCGGTCATTATGAACAAGCGCCCACAGGTTCTACTTCTTTAATCATACATTCAATGATCATCCAGCCGTTTTTATCAATAGTCAGCTAGCGCAATGAAAGTGGGAACTCGAATGTTACGCCACAAACGACAAGCAAAGTCAGAGGAAGGTGCAGCCTTGGTTCTGAAAATCTGACAACTTTCATTTGATATTATGGCTTGCGAAATGATTGCGAAGTTATCACCGCTCTTAAGCTCGCAAGTAGCCCTACGTAGCATGAATGCATGAGCCTCAAAAAAAACATTGTTTAAGGTCCATGGACCACAACTTCAAAGGATCGATCTAATCTTATCTCAAAGCGACCACGTGACGGTAAACACTACATATGAAGTTCTGGTCGTAATTGTGGAGCTTACAACGAAGAAGTTCTCTCTACAATACGACATTCGTGCCCCACAGCACTTCTGTTCGGGTTCTTGACGTCTGGGGTCTTTCTTCGAACTCGTTTTCTTGCTGGGCCATCCTAAAAAAGACGACGACTGTGTCTACTTGGTAGCGTGTGCAGATCTGGTCAACCTCGCACGACGAAGAGAAGAACCACATACGTCACTCCAATCTCACCATTGCCCTACGAATTGAACTTTATTTAGAGTTAATGTGTGATCTTTTCCCCTGAGATGGCTCAAGGAAAGGATCAGCATTACTGGAGACAGCTTCGAGAAACGTTGACAGCAGGGAGATGGGACAACGCATTCCCCGGAAAGACACCTGGCGGCGCGCCACTTTCCTGGTCAGAAACCCTGCGCAAGTTCAACAAACATTGCAGAGGGTACACGCATATCGCTGAGCTTGCATCACAGTTGCAGGCACTCGCCTTGCTGCTCTCCGCCAATTCGCGGAATCGGAGCATGGATGGCAGTGAGGTTAGTCCACATGGACCACTGGTGCTCGGGGACGAGTGCATGCTACCAGAAGAGCGCATGCAAGAGGCGATAACGGGCTACAATGCTCTGAAGCGGCTGGAGTCGTCTAACTCAGATGTAAGTGCAATGTCCCATATCTGATCCATTCCCTGTTCAATTAACTTCAGCATCGGGTAGTCCATCCGGCTTGCAGTAGCATACTACGCATTTGCTCTGCGACGGCCGTCGGAGTGTCTATCAATCTTGTCCGACGTCAAGAGTTTCTTAGACGTCACGGAACGTGTATCTGCTTCCAGGTCTGCTTTGACTCCGGGCGAGCCTCGATTGAACGGCTCTGTCTCCTCCGCATGGACGGGTAGCGACTTGTCATCCCTCTCGTTTGCTTCCACCGCGGACGTCAGTGATGGAAGTGCCTGGGCGATTACCGAGAGTATCCGCAGCATATGCCTCCAAGGTGAGTTAATCAGCCCAGGCCTGAAGACCCTCATGCTCACATGATACAGGTATGTCCCATGAGGTGATCACACCCAGCGACCCTCATGCGGCGTTCAACGTATACCTGACTGCGCTTCCCCTCGTCGCAAGCGTCATCAATGATATCCCGCCCTACATCCCTGCTCAAGCTGCATCAGCTTCCACTACCGGCGTGGGTGCCATTGACACAAGTTCCTTCGGGCGCTATCGCGAGCTCTGGCGATGGATGGAGCGATTGCTCCGGCGTGCTATCATCCTGGGCTCCCGTCTGTGCGACGTACGACTGCACGGAAGTCAAAACGCATCTGTGTGGACGTTGTTTGACCAGTACAACTCCTGCAGTGCACATTGGCCGCCGACGTTCCGGCCGGAGCATCGGTCGACCGTCGCTATTCTTCACCTGCGTGCTTTTATCCTTCGTATGCACGCTTCGCCATCGAAGACACCAATTCCGGTCGCTCGAGAAGGCGATGGCCGACCGCACCGATGGATAAGTGCGGCACGCTCCGTCATTCAAGGTTATCGGGCGATACTGAGCGTGAGCACACATTTTCCGCGCGCAGGCGAGCGCAATGTGAAGGTGGAGGATCTTGTCGACCTTTCTGTGGCCGTGTGGGAGGCAGACGGCGCAGTGGGGGAATATGCCGGATGGGTGGTCGATGTAAGCTGCGCTTTGCATCCATCTGCGTTTGAAGGGCACTGACTGAGATGAGGTAGGTGCTATGGTGGGCAACTCGTCTCACCTTCAACTCGTACAAGGTGTATCGTCACCTGACGCATCTCCTATATGTCTCTGGCGATTCTGGGCTGGCAAAGCGGGCCTTGCGCCTTTACGTGCAGGTGGTGGAGAAAGCGAGGGAGACAAAGCTGGCAGAGGCACAAGGCGAAACTGTGTCTGAGGACGAGGATACGGACACCGACCGCAATTGGGTGCAAACACTCGTCCAAGGAGCCAGGATGCTTTGCCGTCTCGCTTTGGTAGACGAGGATGCGAAGGCGGCGCATGACCAGGCGAAGGAAGCAGCAATCATGATTGACAAAGCGAAGTCGCGCCTGGATCATAACGACAAGGAGCTTGTCGGGAGCGTACAGTTGGCCGAGGGTATCTGGCAGTCTACCATGGCCTATACAGGTACGCGTCCATGGTCTTTGGAGTACATATCATTTGGTGTGACGTCTCCCATATTATAGAACAAGACCCGCAAACTCGGATGAAGCGATTTTCCCACGGACTCTCGTCTCTGCTGGCGGCCGCAGAGACGTATCCCACTCCGTCGGTCTATCATCACCTCGCACTCGCATATTCAGGGCCCGGGCCCTCTCTCGACTTGCAGAAGGCCATCGCCAACGCGCAACTCGCCGTTGAGGGGGAGCCGGGAGAGGTCCGACATTGGCATCTGCTGGGTCTTCTGTTAACTGCGACAGGAGACTGGCGCGCCGCGCAGGGCGTCTTGGATGTCGGCGCCGGGATAGGTGAAGCCGATCTCGCGGACGACATTTCCGAGAGTCATCCCAAAGATGCGACCAACGGCGCCGCTGGCATCCATGTACATGACTATGCGGCGGGATCGCAACCGATCGACCGGGACGGAGCGAGCGGACATGCTCATTTGGGGTACTCGAGCAGCGAGTCTGTTAGCACACCCGAAGTCGTGGTGACGCTGCTCGATCGCGATGCTACTGACATTCCGCCGTCCTCTTCGTTACTGCGCCCAATCCCCGACAGACCATCTCCCTCGCGCCACGAAGCATTCGAACACGCTCTACAGTTGCGGATGACGCAGCTTACGCTGGCGGAGTATGTCGAGGGCCCCGAAGGAGCCGGGGATAGGTGGGTGGAAGTGTTTCACTGGTTTTCGGAGCGGCGAGAGGTCGGGTCGGAAGACAGTGAGTCATGTGCTTACGTATCCTGATAATGTAGCGTTGATACTAATTTGCAGCCTTTGCAGGAAGGCTGTCCATTGACAGTAGGCAGGACGTGCGACCGCAGTCTATCGCACCCTCCGAGAAACTCACTAAATCCCATCGTGTCGAATCACACTCGTCCAGAGCATATATGGCCGTCGATGAGGTCGCGGAGGACGGTCCTCTCCCGCCGACTCCTATTCCCATTACGGTCACACCTGCCACGCCTGCGATACCGAATGCGCAAAGCGAACATACCGGAAGCGTTAACGAGGGTCTTGACGAGAAGCATCTGTCTTCCTTCCATGGTCCCCAAAGAGATATGACCCGTGGGAAGAAGGTCCGGGAGGTGCTGAAAAGCCGCGTGCACAAGGGACAGGCGGGCATTACCAAAATATCCAGGAGAATTGGCCACAACGTTGCGCGGCATGGTAGCACTGACCTCAAGCGGTCGAACTCCGCTCCTGGTAGGACTCAGACTTTGACTCGAACTAAATTGCGATGCTGATGTTTTGTGCAGATCTGCACGCCGTGCTCGGTCAGTCGCCTTACCAAGCATCATCGATACACCTACGTCAACAACTCAGCTTCTATGTATCACAGCAGGATGTATCTGTCATCGATGCCCCTCCACCGCCACCACCACCACCTCCTCCTCTTCCTTCCCAATCTACAACGTCGGCCATGCGAAAGCAGAACTATCGTGCAGCTCGCGACCGGCGATTGTTGAGCAATCTCTGGCTGATGTCTGCAGCTACATTCCGGAGGCTCGGGAAGATTGAACAGGCAAAGGCGGCCATCCAGGAGGCGGAGGTGAAGGATGAGGACAACCCTAACGTCTGGGTACAGGTGAGCGCCTCGGCTGTGATATATTCACAAGGGGGAATTTTGATTGCTCATCAAGTAATAACAGCTGGGTTTGTACTATATGGCTTTCAACGAAGAGCTCCGTGCGCTTGAGTCTTTCCAGAAGGCGCTCTTCATCGCGCCAGACGACGTCTCCGCCATAGTGCATCTCTGCCGCCTCTACCTCTCGCCCAACCTGCCCAAACTCCTCGGCACCTCCACTGACAATCCACAGCGAGAGAACATCGACCTCGCGGCGGGGCTGCTGTCCGAGCTCACGAAAGGCGCCGGGTGGGACGTCCCTGAGGCTTGGTACTTCCTCGCAAAGCATTGTGGGCTGCAGGGACGAAAGGACAGGGAGCGCGAGTGTCTCCGCTTTGCGTTGACGCTCTCAGAGACGAGAGCGCTAAGGGATATCGGCACGGCTGTTGGGTGGTGTTTATGAGCGTGCTCTTAGATGGACCTATTTTAGTTAATTATACCTAATGCTACGCTATCTGCATCTATACCCTCTCACGTTAATGTTACTTAGGGTTCATGTCGTTGCTGGACTTGGAGAAATGTCTTTGAATTAACAGGGACTAGCGCACGCAGTGGACGTGCCCTCCATTCTCTAATAGCCTGGCAATACTCATACTTTGATGGTCCCTCCCATTGTGTGCAAAGGTAGCGCTAGCCAGTATATCACTGCTGAACATCGATTCACTCTTTCACCAACACGAGTGCGAAAACCGGCTCGCCTTGCTCTTCGATGGCCAGGGTCCAAATATCAGATCTCGAGCGTTCTTATTCGAGAAATGCACTCGCTCAGAAATCTGCCAAGAAAGAGCGCGTCGCGACGCGCTGCAAAATCAAAAAGATACGAGGCAGCGCTTAGGTGGAGTTATGGTGGTGGTAGAAAGAATGTTTTCTCACGCATTGGGCTCTCCACTTGACAAGTACTTTGTGGCATTTACTTACCGTGAGCTGACAAGGTCTAACGATCTGCACGCGGACTGTATCAAACTAGGCATTGCGTCTCTCTGCCAGGCATTGCTGTGACGTCTCTCGGCGGGCCGGAAGGTTGATCAAGATTCAGAATCATTTTACACCCCACCCGCGCCGCGCGGGACCCTTTTCATGCCACGTACTATGTCGATCTGATTATTCTGTACTTACTGAAGAGACTACACTATGCATGTCCAATACTGATTCTCTTGGCCAAAAACCTAACAGATTGGCACTGTCGGATGACATTCTGGCTGGATCGCCTTAGTCTGGAAGTTTATTTCAATTTCAGACGATTGAGATGTAGACCGGTCGCCCTTCTGTCTGTTTGGTGTCGCTGGTTTTCTGCAGCTATATCCTTGCTGTTCTTGCCGGACACACCTAGCTCAGCTGATCAAGATCGAGACAGCTACATGTTCTTTTGCTACCCTCCCTATCAAAACCCGAGCGAATCGCCGAATTGCACTGGCAATCTAGCGCACCGGGAAACAGTCGCGTGAGTATACATGCTTCCCTCATTCATTCACTGTATACGACACACCGACCTTCCCGCCTTCCAGGCCATACAAACCAGCGAGTGGCTTGGCCGACGAGAACGGTGTCGCTAATGCGCGCACCACGTCTGACACACGTATGCCTCTGGAGGGGCCCTTCCCGCTTGATAATATCGCCATGATCGCGGCGGACAATGCGACTCCTCCTGAAGATGTGAGCGAGGTTCTGGAGCTCATGTTGACAGGTAATATTCAACAGTCCTTGCCCGACGGCAGCGACACAGCCCCTTCGAGCATCGGTAGTTTTGATCAGCTGTGTGCCTCTACTTCTGTTCCCGATCTGTCCTCTCCCAACATCTCTCCGCCGGATTCGGGACCCGACCAGGTCCAGTCTTCGGGACAGCAGCTGACCCTCAATATCGAGCTGTCCGACGGAGAAATACAAACCATTGAGAGATATCTGCGTGCTGTGATCTCCTTGGATAACACTACGCCTGCTATGCATGCCGCTATCGAAGCGCTAGTCCATCCTTTTGTCTATTGGCGGCTTATCCTCTCTTAAAATTCTGCGCGTGTTGACTCTCAGCCCACAAATTTGATACTGCCCGCGCCCGAGAAGCAGCATGCTGTGGATGGTCAAACCCCTACAGCTTCAGCTGCCCCGCCTCTCACTATGGGCTCGCCGCCACCAGAGGATCAGCCTCCGGTCGTCCATGCGGAGAATCACCGCAGAAAACCTTCCTCTATCACAGGCTCACCGAAACCTAGTTCCTCTGCTGCACCGTCCCTTCCTCCCGTGCTAGTCCGCTGCCACTGGGAGTCCTGCACAGGTTCTATCAACACGAATAAGCCTAGCGGCGTTCGGGATCACTTTGTGCGGGCGCATAACGGGTACGGTAAGTGGACAGGAAAGCGGAAGTTGGAATGCTTGTGGGAAGGATGCGTGGGGGCCGGCGAGATGGAGTGCGCGCGCATGCTGAGGCACATTGAAAGGCAGCACATAGGAAAATTAGCCCGTCGGTGCCCGGTGTGCGGCCAGGAGTTTAATTTGAGGTCACAGAGGAACTTTCATGTGGGGGTCGCACATTCAGAGAGTGCAACACGTTCATGATACAGGCTCAGATAAGTGAATTCCCGCGTGCTGTCGAACGCAACCACACAGCGTGCATAGCAACATTTTTCCATTGGAAAACAGTAGAGAAACTCTGAAAACATATTAAGCTTTGATTTGGGAAAATGGTGAAGAAATTGAAGCTTCATCCATCATTAAATTGCTATATATGGCCATGTGCTACCCAAATATGGAAACATGTGCATAATATTTCTCCAAGGCTGGGCTTTATATTCTTTTACTATATTTTCACGGTTTCTTCAGTGGAAAAATATTGCTATGCTCGCTGTGGCCACGAGCTTCGGGGTGATTTCCATATATGGTGCGTTGATAAAGCCGTTGCACAACAGGGACAAACAGAGTAAATAGTCAAGTTTAGGATAGCTTCAGTTTGACTTCGGCAAACTCCTTCCATCAGCTCATTCTCCCTTGCATTTGAATGATGCTGTCTTTTAGAATGGAGGGACCATCCGGGCCTCGCGTACTATTTTAATCTTACTTACATTGAATCCACGGTTAGCAATACGTTGTTGGTGTCGGATTTCATCCAATCGTTCAATCCGCACGATTGTCACAATGGTTGTACTCGCTCAGGAGTCGGGAAGGAAAGTCGAATTGTATGCATAATTAAGCATTCTTCCGCGTCGGTTTATGATGCATGTCCATTCTTCAGCATGCCCTGAGATGGTCTCAATCGCAATCATTCTCACCTAATTTTGGGATCTTAAACTCAGCTTGATGGCAGCCTCAGTAATTTGAGCTGAGTCGGATGGTTGACATTTGAACAGCACCACAGAGTTGTCCTTTTGCAGCCTGCACTCTCATCTCAACATCGCTGCCATTCGCGTCTGCCTATTTGAGTCCAGATTTAAGGACTACCATAGCTACAATGATGGATGATTCGTGAGTGCTTTTCTCACCTCCGTGAGACTGAGGATCATTAAAAATTAACTCACTTCACGTGCCTATTATTGATCTATCAAACGCCATAGAGCGTTCATTCAGGCCCTGTTTGAGGACCCCACTGGCATCGCGCGTGATTCGACAACTAGGCCGGCAAATGCAGCGTCGTGAGTAGACTCTTGATCGTGGACTACGCATCACAGTCTGCTGACAGGCGTTGTGTTTAACGTAGCGCGCATATATCCGCCGGCAGAGGTGTGTTGCCTAGCGCATATCCATCCACCACGGAGACGCTTAGCATGGCACAAATGTTCGCATTGGTCTACGAGAGGTTCGATGACGATGTGCTGGATACCACAGTGCCACCTCGCGGACCCTCACCCATGGTGATATATGACCTCTCCGCGGCAAATTCGTCCTGGTTGCAGGGCAACAACAACCTAGGCATGATTTCTGCACCATCGTATGCGCCTGTGCAGGCCGGGCAAGCGGCAGCACCTTCAAATGACATTCAGCTCCAGGGATTCGCAGAGTCGCATATAGTCCCCTCTTTCGATCCGTTCTTCGATTCGGATGTGCTCATGATGGCTGGCCCGTCCGTGCTACAGGATAATTTCGACATCGGCACGGACGACCTGGGTGCACTGACGACCTCACTCTTTCCGGATGCGCCGTTGGGGGGAACTATACTTTCCTCTGAAATGGCTGTGCCACCTCAGCAAGAAGTACAGTTCTCTCCCCAGTTTACTGCGGAAGAGCAACAAACGGTCTCCCAGTACATGTTGGGGATGGCCGACCAGTCTGGCGTGCCGCTCATGGCTGGCGTGCCGCTCATGGCTGGCGGAAGCATCGACGATTTGTTCGACAGCGCGTCCTCGTGGTTCGCTCTCGTCAGTTCTCCAGCGATGACGGCGAATCAACCCGTTGATAGTCCCAATGGGGCAACCCCTGTTGAGATCTCTACGATTCCCGAGCAGGTTCAATCAACGAACACGGCTGCCTCTTGCCCCAGCTCACCGGGGATTCATCGTCGTGACACGGCAAGCAATGCCACAGCTTCCATATCCCAACAACCATCTTCCCTTTCCGGCGTCGCCCCGGTACCCTTACCAGGACGTGCACGCTGCCGGTGGGGAAGTTGCATGCGGTACATCGGTGGGCGAGACATCAAGAACGTGCAAATACATCTCGTCCACGCTCATCACGACGGCAAGAGATGGCAAGGGAAGCGCAAGATCCGCTGCCAGTGGGAGGGGTGCATCGACGGACATGACATCCCGCTATGTGACGTCGCTGCACATGTCGTGAAGGCACACTTGAGGGAACACGAGTGTGCGTTCTCCGGTTGTGGTGAGGTATTTCATAGTAAGGATCATTTGAACAGGCATGTAAGGATGGTTCACCATCCTTCGCTGCAGGATGTGGGAGCAGGCGTGCCAGCATAGGGCGTGCATTATTCGTGTAATATATGTACTTCTCCCGCTCGATGCACGATATGCTATGTGACTTGGGCTAAATTGAACCGTTTGATCACATTATATTGTAAGAGTGAACGATCATTAAGCATTATGCAAAGGTTTGGTAGCTGTGCGACAAATGCGCGAAATGCAATGTGCTATACGCTATATCTTGAATGAAAGACAATGAATCGGCATGCATAACGAACTTTAAGAATCATGACGTCCGGTCATTCCTACCGCTCTCCTCTCCGCTCTCCTACGACAGCATCCATCCACTTGAGAACGGCTGTTTCCAGCATGTTCTCCCAACCATTGTCTTGGCGCGCGACCAACGGCGCATCGAACATGAATGGTTCTTCGTGACACCCCGGTGGCGGACGTAAAGACGACGATGACGTTGACGACTTCAGCGAGCGCGTGCTATCCGAGGGTGAGATGCTGTTCCGCGGCTGCACAGGTGGGTATATTGGGAGGGAATATCTTAGTTTCAGCGCGCTGTAGGAGAGGTTGCTTCAGTATGCTTCTCGGTATAAAGCACATTACGTTACACGCACGCTGCCCAAAGTCGCAAGTTATCCGTCCGCCGGAACGTCCATCCACGTTTGCCCTTGTCCTGATGCTGCGCATCGTCGGCCAACTGCTTCTCGAGCGTTGCGATGTCGTGAATGGCGTCCTTGCTCACGAATCCCCACTGTTTGCGCGACTTCCGTACGCCGACGTTGTAGGCCATGCAGAGTAGCTGGCCAGATGAAAGCGCCTGGAGGAAGGCCGCACGATCTGGCGGCGCTTGAGGGAGGTATGGCAGCAGATGGGCTGGGAGGAGGGCTATGAGGAGGGCGTGTAGGCGACCTGTGCCAAGGTCAGCGTGCTGAACGATGGTAGGCAGCAGAGTACCGCACCCAATGGATTGCCCTCGAACGTCGACCGCTTGGCCCAGTCCGGCAGGTCGTCATCCTCGACAGTGTCTTCCTCAGCAATTGACTGCATCTCTTCCGGCTCCTCGGTCAGCACCATATCCCTCATCGCGTCCAGCATGTTCGCAGACATAACCCTCCGATCCGACCTCCTCGGACTCAGCCCGCCCTCAAGCAACGGCGTGCTAACCCTGCGGCCCTTCGCCCTGTCTGCCCGCTCCTTACTCTCAGCCCGCTCCCGCTCCCGCTCCCATCCGCGCTTGCTGTCCTGCGTCCCGCCAAAAAGCACTTCGTCCACAGTGTCCAAATAGCGCCCAACGACCCCGCGCTCGCGTACGAGGTCCGCGAGCCGCATGTCCTGTCGGTAGAGCCACCCGCCGCCGAGGACGAGCCGCTCGTCCCATCGCTCGTGCTTCTCGCGCTCCTCCGCAGTCATGTCAAACGCCGCGGCCTCATCTCCCCAGACCGGGATTGGCTTCTGCCTCCCTCCGACCTCGATGAACGAGATCAAGACGGACGTGTCGCTGTCGACGAACGCGGGCTCTTCCAGGTGCAAGGATGGCGACGGCCCGCGCTCGGAGGCGGCGCTCGCGTCTGGAGACGAGCTGTGTTCACTCTGCGCGTCATACGCATCGTGTTCGAGCGGGAGCCGCGCTGCCTCCTCGAGTGCGCGCAGCACGGTGAGAACCTCGAGAGCGTCACGTCTGATACGGACGTGAGGTTCGTTGGATGAATCGCCCTGCGTGACGCGTCGTTTCAGTGGAGATGCGCTCTGCAGGCTCTGCGGACGGAAGAAGTTTCGCTGCATGGGCGTGGCAGAGTCGTCCGGGAGGGAGACTAGATAATTCCGCACAGACCGTATCGCATGCGTTGTTGTCTTCAACAGCTCGAGCACCTCTAAATGCAGTTCTCCACCTGCCGTCAACAACTCTCGATCCTGCACATGCAATCCGCCATCCAGTTCCCATCTCGCAGCGACCGCGCTGAGATCGTCGATGACGCCTGGTCGAAGGTTCTCGGGATCTGTCTCGTGCGTCCTGACGTATGGTGCGAATGCCGGGCGTACGATCTGTGGAATAACTGGAGACGGAGGGAGTACGAACTTGGGGTCGTCCTGCCATGCAAGCTCATCCATCAGCCCCACGATGACCGCAGCCATTCCCTCCCACTCACCTGCGATGGCGGTCCCAAGACGAGATTCGACGGACCGCCAATCGCTCGTACCATCCCGCTGTTCTTCTTGTTCAGAGGACTACGGATCCATTAGCGAACACACAACCCAGCGTGGATCATCGCACCTACTTGCTTTCCGCCGCTATCCCGGTCTTTGTGAAATAATGCTGCAGGTGCTCGATGCTGCCCAGAGCCATGACACTCTCTCGTTTTGCAGCGCTGCGGCTGAACGGCTTCTGCGGTTTGTTCGAGGACTTCATGTTCGGGTAGTAGGCGAACTGTCGTCGTGGTTTGGGAGAAGGGCGATCGGCGGTTGTTTCTCCCTCCGGAGCAGGGAATTTGAAGCTTCTCATCTCCGGCACTTCGTCCATGGTGCGCAATTCAAGACGTCAAAGACGATGGCAGACAAGAGATGAACGGAAATGATGCATCGTGTTAGCCGACAATTTCGCGTAAAATATGCGAGCACCCGATCACGGACTGTCATCCGTATCCAGGTACAAGCGTGGAAGCAATAATTATGAGGTGAGCGATGGTGTTCATTCATTGACGTATTATAAGCAATATGTATAGTGGGAGTACTAATACGCATCCGTAGAAAAACGGATGATGCATATGGAGAAAACGAGTGTTCGTACTCCCTAGCGAAAGCCACCACGACGTCTTTCCACGACTTCAAAATCAATCCCGGCGTGGATCAAGAGGTCGAGATTATCAGATAAATTACCGCATCGTGTTCGCAAGTTGAGTCAAATCCTGCGCCAACTCGGGGTAGTTCTTCATGAACTGCATTTGTGCGACCGTGGCCTACGCACCATCCTGTCAGACTGCAGAATATCCCACATTGAGCTCATGATACACACCACTTTGTATGATATCGCATTCGCCAGCTCGGGCTCGCTCCGCGCCAGAGCGACTTGTCGCTCAAACATCTCCATCGCGACATCGATCTTGCCCTGCTGCAAGCTCAGCTGTGCGAGCGTCGCCACCGCCGCCTCGCACTCCGGATCAAGGCGCAGGGCCTCTTGACAGCAACGCTCGGCAGCGCCATGATCTTGCTTCCACTGGAACAATGCAAGGCCCTTGTTGACATACGGCAACACGTTGATCGGCGGCGGCCTGGCCATAAGGATAAGCATCGCATGCGACCAATGGAAATCATAGTGTCTACCTGGGACGACTTTGCTCGATCTCAATGGCACGATCGAATTCCTGTACCGAATCCGGGTATCGGTGCTGGTCGAGAAGCAGCTCACCACTGTACCACATTAATCCTGATCAGCCCTGGCCGCAACGAGGTCAGGACAGTCGAGACGTACTAGTAATTAGCCGGCTCGCTCCGCTGAGGAAATGCTTCCAGCGTCTTGCGGAATGTTACAATAGCAGCCGGGGTCTGACCAGCCTTGTACTGTGCGACGGCAAGCTGGATCTGGCTGAATACAAACTGGTTGTCCAGCTCGGTCGACTTGGTGTAGTTCTCTGCGGCTTCGTCGAACTCGTTCATGATGAACAGCACTGCTTATCAACAAGATCAGTGGCGCAGGGAGGTTCATTCCACTAGAGACACGCACCTTGTCCGCGGTGGTAGTAGATATCCGGGTCATTCGGGTTGTGCTTGATGGCCTGATCGAATGCCTCAAACGCCTTCTTCGGATCACCCTGCTCCATGTACACGCTAGCAATCTTGACCCAGGTTTGTGTCAGCGAAGGCTGCAACTTAATGGACGCGAGGAAGTCTTCCTTCGCCCCGTCCACGTCGGCCATCAAGAATCTTCGCTATTATCAGCATATGGAGTTCTTGGCCCTTACTAGACACCCACTTGAAGGTTCCACGGAGGTTAAGTGCCTCCGCCTTTCCGGCATCCCAGGAGATGCCCTGCTCAAGAGCCTCGTTTATGAGGCTCAGCGAGTGTGCGTAGTCGCCCGCACCGAGAGCCTCCAGCGACATGATCAGAGTCTTATCACCCTGCGACGGATTTTCCGGAAGCGTGGGTAGCGGTCCTGCGAGAAATTGGTCAACCTTTGCACAGCAAGTGAATACGGACGATACGTACTCGGGCGGAAGGCGCCGAAGTACGCGGAAATGAACGTATATGAAGGAAGGCGGCGTTCACGAGTCTGAAGGGATTTGTTGAGTGAATGCCAGCGATGCATGCAAGGGGCATACCGAGATAATGTCATGTGCCTCCTGAGTTGCCAACTTCTTCACCACGCGCTCGACAGTCGCCGAAGCTGAGTCGTTGGAGAATTTTTCGAGTATTGCCACAGCAGTATAGTCTGATAAAGGCTCAGAATCGCCATGACTAACGAATACAGTTAACAAATTACCTCGCAATGCCTCCGTCAACTTGCCGAGTCCCTCGAAGGCTGTTGCTCTGCGGTTCAGAGCTTTGACATAGGCTTTGTCGAGCTTCAAGGCCTCGTCGCAGTCGGCCACTACTTTTTCATATTGAGGCGGGCTCATGTTTACATAACCTGAGAAGAGTCAGCGGAGGACGCCTCACCCAAGATTTTAACTCCTACATGCTGCACGATTGCTATAGAATACAGGTTCGGGCTTCGGCGTGACTTCGATAGCGCGAGTGTAGTAATGAACAGCGGTGTCGAATTTGCGCTGCCCGTATGCCGAGTTCCCTCTGGTCTTCAGCGATGCGGCCGATTTTGTTCGCTCCTAGAATAATAATGACGAAAGCTTTTTACAGCATGAAATAGACGAACCTCAGCCGACATGCCAGCGATATCATCTAAGGTCCACTTGAATTCGGCTAGTATGATACATTGATGTCAGTAGTGCGAATTGTATGAGCCACGCTCGACTCCATCGAGGACATGCAAGTGATAAAGAGAGTGACAATGAGATAACACTCTGGCAAGGAATGTCCAAGCAGTTCAACAGACCCTATCTCCGATGGAGTAGAGTGCAAGTGTTCAAAGTGATTAGGACAGTAGCAATGCTGCCATAAGAATGCGGTGAAAGCATGATTGCTCCTTATTCGTATTCCTGTCCAATCTCGCTGCGGCATCGCGCGACCAAGCACTCTGCCTTTCTTCTTCAACGAAGGGTGACATAACCTTCTCAATCTAAACCAGTAGTTCTTGACCTGAATTCGAAAAGGCACCTCTGTATGTAGCATGGGTACAGCCCGGTAGAGGCCGAAGCAGGAGCAACCAAAGAGTCCCTGTCTCTAGCTCCTGCGAGACCTCGCAGCCCAAGGACCCTGCAAATATTCGAGGCATCCGAGACTTATCACAGCATTGCGATGTCTTCCGTAAACTGCGCACATTCCACCCACCAAAGCCTTGCCTCTTCGCGAACCAAAGATCCAGAGCGAACACTCACGATCATCTGGAAGCGAAGCCGTCCGCTCCTCTAATATGGGTCCCTCCCCGCCCTTAGTCCCCTTTCGCTTCTTCTTCTTCTTGTCCTTCTTGCGCTCGCCCTTCTCGACGTCCCCGCCCTTAGGCCCGCGCGACGTCGATGCATAGTATGCGACACCCCCAATGGCAACAAGCGCAGCCGCTGTCCCGATGATGACCGCACGACGGTTCTCGGAGACGAAGTTTTGGACGCGCTCAACGACGCCTGGAGACGTGGAGGAGGACATGACGGGTGCGTAGGGCGGAATCGCGTGCCGCCCAGCGCTTGTTCTGTGGGGGAAATTTTGGTGACGGTCACATCAGACGTTACCTGCCTAGACCGGCAGGCAGGTCGGTACCCGCCTCGTGTGACAGATGTGACGCAATCTAGATTTCGACCAAACTGACGGCATTCAATTTGTTGTGGCCCTCTGTCCGCTCGATCTATCAATTCAGTCTCAACTCCGAGGCTTTCGAATCTGCGTTCTGATTGAAAACAACCCGTCAGTTGTATATCTTCGCAAGATGGCTGATTTGACGGCATTTTCTACTGCTGGGGAAGACGCCATCACCCGCACTGTCGATCTGGGAGATGATGTGCCCGAAGAAATGTCCATGGATCAATTTTGGGATTACTACGAAATTGATCGTACAGTCGAGGAGATTGTCAAAGGGGACTACAAGCGTGTTGGTCGTTTAGCCTCTGCATAATCTCTCCAAAGCTTAGTCCATGTCCCGCCGGCAGATTGCGCTACAGTTCCCCGACGAGCTCTTGCGCGACTCGGTACCGATATTTCGCGCCCTCAAATCTAGGTTAGGAGACGAAAAGGAACTCTACGTGCTCGCGGATACGTCTTATGGCAGGCATGCTACCATCCTGAATAAGGATCTTCTTGACTGATCATGAAATCCTCGGTGTTCTGTCAACTGTATTACAGCTGCTGTGTAGATGAAGTCGCTGCACAACACGTCGATGCCGACGCCATAGTGCACTACGGCCATGCTTGCATGAGTCAGTAAGTCGTCAATTCATCCCGCATCCATGGATCGTCCTGAGTTGCTTCAGAACCTCGCGTCTCCCCGTGATTTACGTTTTTGGGAAGAAAGCAATCGATCCCGACAAATGCTTCGAAGCCTTCATACAATCCATGTCAAAAGCTCCATCAGTTCTGGACAGGAAAACTATCCTGCTCAAGCTCGACGTTGCCTATGCTCACAAAGCCGGTCAGTCAAAATGGGAATGGTTGGAACATTATTCCTCACTTACTGCTTCAGATCAAATCCTTGAAAGGCTGCAGTCTGCGCTATCATCCACGCAGATTTTGCACTCCAGACTATCACTGATTACCTATCCCGCGAACCGACTACACAACGGACATCGACAGGATGCCGAGGATCACACGAATAAATCACCGGAAGAGATCGTCCAAAGCACCACAGACATGCCCGTCAATGACTGCACAATACTGTATGTTGGAGGGGAAAGTCTAGGTCTCACAAACCTGCTCATTACCCACGCATCATGCGAGGTAACCGCTAAACCGCCTCGTCTCTTATCCCCGCTGATAACACGTCTTACTAAGGTACATTCCTACGACCCTAAAACAGACTCAGCCCGCCTAGAGTCAACGCGGACGAACAAGCTACTCATGCGTAGATATGCAGCCGTGCAGAAAGCCAGAGACGCGGACGTGTTCGGCATTCTCGTCGGAACGTTGGGCGTCGGTAAGGAGCCGCCGCCTCCTATCCCCATGTGCCGCATATTTCTGAGACCTCATTGTTCGCGACAGCTTCCTACCTTCCGCTCATCTCCCACCTCCGCTCAGTCCTGCGACGCGCGCATAAGAAAAGCTACACGATCAGCGTCGGCAAGCTCAATCCAGCCAAGCTTGCGAACTTTCTGGAGATTGAGTGTTTCGTCCTCGTCGCGTGCCCCGAAAATAGTCTTATCGAAGCGAAGGTGCGTCTTCTCTCCGGTCAGCTACTTCATCATTTTTCATGTCAATGGCTGCCTACGTAGGATTTCCTTAGGCCGATTGTCACTCCGTATGAGCTCGAGATCGCCTTGCGAGCCGAGATGGGCTGGACTGGTCGATATATTCTTGACTTTGACAAATTGCTGGCGGAGAACGTTGAAACAGAAGGTACGCTACCTCGTGTGGACGAAAGGGGGGTTTACACTTTTGACGGTGCCAGCAGATGAACAAGAGACAGGTGAAGAGGAAGGAGATTTGGACCAACCAATCTTCTCGCTAGTAACAGGAAAGTACCGCCATGCAAAGCGTTACGGTAAGCGATCTCGAAGCGATCTCGTATTGAGCAAGTGCAATGCACTGACGATGGTCTGCTCTACTCTCCTACAGGCATCTCCTCGACGACAAACGGCACCACCGAATCCTCTGCCATAATCCTGCGCAACCAAGAAAGCACGGTCACGACGCTTGCAGATAGTGCCGCAGGTGAGGTTTATGCACTCTCAATTTTTCTGACCCACCCTCTTTCTTTCTTTTACGTGCAGGAGAGTTCCTGCAAAACAGGACCTTCAGAGGATTGGAGACCAGGATCGGCCAGGATGCGCCTGGTGTGCTGGAACAGGGAAGGAGCGGGATCGCGCGAGGATACGCAGATGATCGTCCATCGTAAGGTAGGGTTGTTTGTGTTCTGCAAACTGGCAATGCGAGTTACAAGCAGTGCCTGCTGAGAGGCACTAATATCAGAAATGTTGGTCTCAGACCTGGACCGGGAGTGGCGCTTAACAATCCTTGGAATATTGTAAACTGAAGTAATCCGGGCCCGTGGCGTGCGGTGGATCAACATCCGGACTGGGAACGCAAAATTCAAAACATCTGTATTTGTCTGGGACTGCCTGGGGATATCGAATTTGCAGAATACACGAAGAGTGCTTGTCGATATGAATATGTAGAAGATCCTGCTTCAAGATACATAATACATGCAAGCACGAACGAAAGCTCGTATCATGATCCCAACTCACAAGTACTACTCAAGCTCAGAAAGCCTGTACATCGTTGTCCTCATCCACGCACCCCATCGCCATTTCAAATCTGATATACACTGTCGTTAGAAATTGCATAAATTCTTGGTCAATCACCCAGCCATCGTCACGCGTCACGTTCCTCAGCCCCGCGTCGCCTCACGAGTAAGCGTCACGCGCGCAACGCATTAGGAAGGCGTTCCACCATATAGGGCAAGCCAATGTCACTGCTCGAGTATCAATCTCCGACGCGCATCCTCTGCCATTATGACTATGACAGCGTCACTTGCGTTCACAAATTTTTCATTTTTCCCTGAAATTGTTTCTCGTCAAATTCAATAACACTGGTGCAAACCCCCGACAGTCCCAGGTGTACAGTTATTCTGATCTTCCTCAGACGCTGTTCAGAAATCCCGCCTGCACTGTGTGTCGCGCTTTCACTCGGGCCCTCCAGACGTTCTGCGGCCCTGGCTCTTATGTAACACGGTGCGCCGAGCTGCAAGAGTTCGATCAATCATACCTAGAGGATTTGTCACGTGCAGACGAGCGGCGAGAATATATTCATCGCCCCAGTCGTCCTCCTCACTTTTCACACTGAAATAAGTGTCTGATGCTTTTGCAAAATCATCTCGTGTCGTAGCCATAAATCGGCAGTTTCGCATCATCACCCGCATAGGACGGATAAAACATGTCACGCAGCGTCAAATCAAGCCTAGTGGCGGATATCGTCTCGCATCAGCCCATACCATCTCCCTCCTCCGCCCATGCTTCCCTTCCCTCTCCTCACAAGTTCGCTTTTACGTCGAAACAAAGGCCCCAGACGGCCCTCGACTCGACGGAGGGTGATACAGCGTGAGAACATTGCCGTATTTAGTGGCTCGACTATCACAAGCCGAAATTCAAGCAGAAGTGGGTCGACTTGAAAATGTGGCGGCACCCTGCACGTCGTCCGCACTCCAGACAGCTCTCGACTGCATTCCACGACCGTTGAAAAGCTCGCATTCAAGGTCACCAAACGCGCTGCATTCCTCGACCTACCATGTCACACTACGACGTGCTCATTGTCGGTGCCGGCGTAGCGGGCTGCGCCCTCGCCCATGCGCTCTCCACCCTCCAGCGCCCGAAACCTCTCCGCATCTGTCTTCTAGAGCGCTCTCTCGCCGAGCCCGACCGCATCGTAGGCGAGCTGCTCCAGCCGGGAGGCGTCATCGCCCTCCAAAAACTCGGTATGGAAGACTGTCTTGACGGTATCGACGCCATCCCCATGCGCGGCTACTGTGTGGTCCTCGGCGGCCAGCCCGTGCAGATCCCCTATCCGGACGCCGACGAGGGCCGCAGTTTCCATCACGGCCGCTTCATCCAAACGCTGCGCAAGAAGGCGAAGCAGGCGGTGGGCGTCGACGTGATCGAGGCGACCGTCACCGAGCTCGTCGAGTGTCAGGTCACCGGGCGCGTCCTCGGCGTGCGTGCGATACGCAAGCAAGAGGCAGGCGAGGGAGCGGAGACGGCGGCGGCGGAGAAGGAGACGTTCCTGGCGGACTTGACGGTCGTTGCGGACGGGTGCTTCTCCAACTTCCGGACAAAGGTGCTCGGAGAGGTGGGTGTGAAGCCTGCGCTCAAGAGCTACTTTGTGGGCGTCATCCTCGACGATGCGCACCTGCCGATTGCTCAGCATGGTACAGTTGTGCTCGTGAAGGGACACGGCCCAGTGCTGCTCTATCAGATCGGTCAGCACGACACACGTATGCTCGTCGACCTCAAGGATCCTCTGCCAGCGGACATCAAGGTCAGCGCGTTGGGTTCGACCTGTCTCTCCTGGTATCTGACAAAGTTGACAGGAAACGATCCTGACGGATATCATGCCTCAGCTGCCCACATCCCTCCAAGAGCCCGTCAGGATAGCACTGGAGAAGGACCGGCTGCGGCGGATGCCCAACTCGTTCCTCCCTCCGGCAGAGCAGGGCGGGCGACACACGAAGGAGGGAGTCTTCCTCCTCGGCGATTCGTGGAACATGCGGCACCCGCTCACGGGCGGCGGGATGACCGTCGCGTTCAACGACGTCGTCACGCTGCGAGACCTTCTTCGCGATGTTGACGACTTTGGCGACTGGAAGGCGGTGTCGGGCGTCCTCCACCGGTGGCACTGGTCGCGCAAGCGGTTCGCGTCGACGATCAATGTTCTCAGCCTCGCGCTGTACGATCTCTTTGGAGCGGACGGTGAGTCGTGCGCCGATGTTGGCAGGCATAACACTGATTTCGTGCCAGATGAGAATCTGGAGGTGCTCCGGACAGGATGCTTCAAGTATTTCGAGCTTGGCGGGAACTGCATTCGCGAACCGGCCTCCCTCCTTTCTGGGTCCGTCCTCTCCCTCCGAGTCGTCGCTGCGTCTTGCTGACTTACAGTGACTGCTCAGGACGAAGCAATCGACGCTGCTCCTCGCGTACCACTTCTTCGCCGTCGCGCTGTACGCTATCTGGGTGATGTTCACGCATCCGCGACAGGTCGGCACCACGGACGCGGGCAAGCCCGTCTACGCCCGGCCGCGCATGGACGAGTACCCGTTCCTCGCCGTCAAGTGTGTGCAGGTGGTGCGTCCGTCTCGTTGTGTTGAGGACTCGGAACGCTGACGATCGGCGCGTAGCTCTGGACCGCGTGCATGGTGTTCATGCCGCTCATCTGGACGGAGATTCGATGGTGGTGAGCCGGTGGGCCTGTGCGGCGACGACGGACGCTTGCATAGAATGAACACAACACATATGTAATTAGATCGGATTGAATACCTAGTCGTAATGGATACCTCGCTTATGTGCTGCGCAAATCTACAGCACTTTACACCTACGTCACTACCCGGGCCCCATCAACGTACGTACAACAGCAGTTTGTGTCTCGGTTAACCGAGCGACTGTGCACCTTCTACACGTGGATCACCGAGTGTTGCTGCAGCTGTCTCCTGTCGTGCAAGATCATGATTGATAGTGCAGCCGAGCCGTACTCGCTGCCAGTGCACGGCTTTTTAACGCACCGCACAATACATTCCGTGTTCTACGGGAAGGCGACCAACGCACACGTTCATGCCCTGCTCAATTCATTGATGCAGATCCCGCAGATGTGTGCCACGCATATAGAGGCCTTGCGGATCGATCGAGTAGTTATTGCGTCCTGCCGTCGCTTCGAATTCCTGCAGAGATTGTTTCAGAGCTGAGACGGGAGTAACTTGGGAAATGTCGCAGCGGATCTGCGACTTGGACTTCTTCGCAGGCGAACGCGAATGTAAGTCGCCCTGCGGCGTACGCGATGCTGGCGGGAGAAGACAACGAATCCTGATCTCCGCGGTGCCGTGCATCTTGGTTAATTCAAGCAGAGTCCGTCGAGAAGTCGTGGATCGTGCCTTGCCGGTAGAAACGCGCAACTGTCGACCCGCGCGTGCTCATCGACATCGATAGCGTAGCACTGCGTGAAATCCTAGATTGCGCATCGTGTAATATGATGGCATTTTGCTTATTTCGCACATATTATGAGCGGAAGTCGCGTATATGTCAGGCTTTTGTGCATTTCCTTCTAATCTGCATATTTCGCATCCATTGTAGCCGGGTTACACACATGTGGTTCCCGAGGTGCGTTAAGTATCCGAAAGGTCGAGGATATCATTACGGAAAGGTTTCCAGATAACACATGCACGAAATCATTAGTACGAATATGGTGCAGGATCTGGACTCTGGCTGCGCATATATTCCCCTTCACTGACTACAATCCCCATCCAGTCAGTCCATGCGCATATTGAGCCTTTGTTTCTTTCCCTCGTAGCTTGCCACTTCCATCTTTCTCTCCCACTCCTCCAGTGCCGTCCCAGGAAGTTAGAGACTTGTTATTCGTGTAGGTGTTTTGACGGGCTTCCGCACCTCCTCCGGCAGCAAGGGGGTCTCCTCGTCACTTTCGTGGTGAGTGACAGTCATAAGCGGAACGTTACACGGTACGAGGGAGAGCGAAAGGTAGTGCTTCAGGTGGAAACCAACACGAACAACATGTGAAGAGAAGGACTCACCGTCGGGAGAGGGTGCCCGATGACTTTATATACGGCAAGCCGGATTTCTGTCAGAACCCGGAAGTCTGATCATGACTGGACATGATGTGCGCCGTTCCCAGGGGTCAACTGGCAGATCATTAACCACTGCAACCCTTACGTGCGTGGCTCTTCATCAGTAATGTCCGCGATCCTTCCTCCGTGACGTGCACTGTCAATGACATCGCGTGCATACACAGATACACTCATGGAATCAGCGAGGTCACACGGGTGAAGGACCGCAGGTGTGTGCTAAATTCTAATCAGTGGGATGGCACGCTTGGTCGACGTCATCATTAACGAGGCACTGCGGATGCATTCGACCTCTGGGATCAACCTCCTGCACGTAGTGCCTGAGGGCAGCATCACCGTCTGTGGGCAGTTCTTCCCCACGGGCACCATCTTGTCTGTGCTGACGTACACAGTTCACAGGGACAAAGAGGTGTGGAGGTATTCAGGAAGGTATTCAGGCCGGAGAGGCGGGGAGGGCATGACAAGAATGAGATGCAGAAGGCTTTCAACCCGTTCTCCCTTGGGCTGCGGTAGGTGTATTCCGGTTATGCGCGACGACTTGAGTCTGAAACTTTGTTTACACAGGACGTATGTCAGCCGTAACCTGACAAGCTCGGAGCTGCTGCTCGTCATTATCTCGTCCATCCTGCGCTGACACCACTTCATGCTGGAGGAACTCGAAAAGAAGGTGTGTGCCGATTAATCTATCCACACTGATCTCTGACGGCATGTCTTGCGATTCATTCGAGACATGGGAAGGTTTCCTCCCCACGCCAGCGCAATGTAGAGTCGGCATGAAGCGGAGGACGGTGTGATCAGGATTACATTATTTGGCCGCATTCTCGAATTCCATCGTCTCTGTCACCATTACACCCGAAGATAAACTTTCGTGCTGTCCTTGCTGAATGTCTGATGGGTCATTGTATACCAATGTAATATGTATAATATGTTCATCATGCATGCCATCATACATGGCAACTGCAAGTGATTTGAATGATTTGTGGCCGCCAGCAGGGGAACTGGTATATATGAAAATATGGTAATTATTTATTGAGCATATGCAGGGCTGTCAGAAAAATAGTCTCGGGATCTCCGTAGATTTCGCGCGTTGCAAAACATATGCGAAATGACGATGTAACATGCTTGTAGTCAGTTCGACTTTGTATCATTCACATCAAATTGCACTTTGTGTGAAATTTGCGTGTGTTTTGTTTGTAACTCGCGTGAAATGCCCTTATTGCTACCATATTCCCACTTTTCGTGATCTGGGGTTTCACGCAGTGTAGCCGATGGTGCTGCGAGCATCAATACATCATGCATCATACACATGTATCGCACACTGTCTTCCGCGATGCTGAGGCTGGCCTGGCGCATGATGTTCCTGATTATGTCTATGATTATGACGCAGATCCCTCAGGTAACACGAGGATCGATCGAGAATTGAGTACTGAGTGCACATACATATCTATATATATTTGGTTGCGATTTACCTTCTCATGCTTCACATTAACTTTCTAGCGTCGGACGGAGTAGTGCACGCGCAGATCGGCATCTTCAGTGGACAGTCGCCGGTTCACGATGCACACGTTGGCGGAAGTTCGGGTGTCCGTACTGCGCAATCGGGTTTCCTAGTTAGTTCGTCGAATGTCCCCGTCCGGACCACCTCGGGCGTGGACGTTGCAGCCTTGCACAGTCTGGAGCTTTCGACGATGTGTCGCCATCGAGTATACCTTGATGACATCCCTGCGATGCGCCCATGAGTAGAAGCTGAACGAGATCGTCGTACGCAATCGACTCTCATGAATTCTCGGTCGGACGACCTCGTTTTTTCAAGTTCCGCTGTGCGACATTGTAGCCTCCTTGCGCAGATTGGACCTCGACCCAATCTCTCCGTCGGCCATCCTCTCTGCTCTTTGCATTCTCCGCGATCAAAACATCGGAACCTGTTGCAATTGCTACCCCGCATCGCGCGTGGGTAGCCAAACCACGAGAACCGATCGAAACGAAATCAAATCACGATTTACCTTGCATTTCCTTCACACTCCCTTGCAGGGCGCGCAGATCGACGAAGAAAACAAGCCTCGCCTTCTGCGCACGCAGTGACAGAACGTTCGGGTTCTCCGCACCGCACAATCCGCTTTTCTCGTTCGCCGGACGTCTCTCCTTTCTCCTTCACCTGCATCGAGTGGCGTCTGTCCCCGAAAGCTGGCCATGTCCCGGCCCTCTTGCTCTGTCTTTGACCACGTGCGAGTGGATACCTAACCAAGGCGGCTGTCGAGGGTTTCTTGCCGACTTTACGCGGGTTTAAGTGAAAATATCGCATTTTCACGATGCGCGTTGGCGGAAGTTTCGGGTGTCCGTATCGCGCAATCGGCTTTCCTGGTTCGTACGAGTCGAGTGTCCCCGTCCCTGCTCCTCCTCTGGCGTGAACATTGCAGCCTTGCAAAGTTTGGAACTTTCGCCATCGAGTATACCTTGATGACATCCCTGCGATACACCCATGAGTAGAAGGTGATTATGAGAGTCGTCGTACGCACTCGACTCTCCCCGTCAGTCGGACGAACTCGTTTTCTTCAAGTTTCGCTGTGCGACATCGTAGCCTGATGCGCAGATCGTACCTCGGCCCGCTCTCTCCATCGGCCATCCTCTTTCCTCTTTGCATTCTCCGCGATCAAAACAGCGGAACCTGTTGCATTTGCTGCCCCGCATCGTGACTCGTGAGCAGGTAGCCAAACGATACGGCCCTCACGAGACCCGATCGAAACGAAATCAAATCACGATTTACCTTGCATTTCCTTCACACTCCCCTTGAGAGGACGTGCAGATCGACGAAGAAGACAAGCCTCGGCTTGCCTTCTGTGCACGCAGTGGCAGAACGTTCGGGTCCTCCGCACCGCACAACGCGGGTTGCTCGTTCGCCGGACGTCCCTCCTTCTGCTGCATAGGTGCGGCGCATCGCGTGGTGTGTGGTCTGCCCCCGAAAGCTGATTCGGGGTGTTTGACCGCGTGCGAGTACGGCGGCTGTCGAGGATTGCTCGCCGACCTTACGCGAAGTGGTGATGGAAGGCAAGGATCGAGTCACAGATATGAGGCAAAAAAATCTAGTATTGCGTAGCCGGATAGTTAAGGCGTGCATACAGTGACGAGGAGATTAGCCTACACCTTAACATTCACGACTAGCTGAAATGTTCACCAATGACAGCGTCCATGGCTTGGATGACATTTCATTTGGAACTCGTATACCTTCAGCTTTTCCTCTTTGGAGCTGCTACCCCACAGCGTGTGAGAACCGTGCATGTTCATCCAATTCCGCTGGACCGAACTGTATTATACATCTTCGCAACTTCAGCCTGGGCGTTGATTATGATTGAGGGTGCAACCACTTACGGTAGCGACGCTGTCCATGTCGCATCGATCTAGCTTTCGGTGTCTGTCGCATTTTGAAATACACTCGCAGGGCCAATCCAAATATGTTCATCGCATACTGCAAAGTATCCTCTCCATCGGGCAAGACCGAAGGCCTACTCCACCCGGGTGCTCTTGGTATCCTAGCGGTTCCTGTCTGTTCCTGTACCAACTTCCCACCTCTTTTCGCCCCCGGAACCTAGTCCACTCGTATCGCAGGGCCCAAGTCGCATCCTCAAGATACAAGCACAGCTGTTTCCCGACGAGTCCTCCATGGAAACCTTGGCGTCCATTCAAGACGCCACTGCGAAGGGTACAGGACCATACTTGCGTTAGTTGGGCGAGAGACGGGCGTCCGTTGGGTGCTATCTCCGCGGCCGTGTTCTCGATGTCTTCCGGATAATTCCGGAGCGTCTATTGGCTCCTCGAATTGCGGGGTGATAGGGGTGATGAGTTCGTACTACATACTATACCGATCACAGCGATCGTGAAGAGAATTGCGTTCGGGCCTCCTGCGCGGCGCGGGTACGAAAATGCATTTCAGTGCAGACGTGTTGCGCAAAGCGAATCCCAGGGTCCTGGAGGTACTGCCGCCAATGCAAGACATGATGACGTCGCAGCCCACCATCGCGAAAGCGAAACGAAACAGAAGATCTGCATAACAAGGATTCGCACGGAAGACATAGTGGCATCTATCACGGCGCAGATCCTTGAGCCACGAATTTCGGCAAAGCTCGCAATTTATCTGGCGAAGGTGGGTAATGGTCCCTGCCTCGTTCTTGCAGATTGAGGCAGACGGGTCTGCAGATGACATAAAATGGTGGAGCTCAGCAGTGATTCCGAACGCGAAGCGCACTGAATGAAAGCCTAGACGAAGGCTTCGCGTAGCGGGCGGCAGCGCACGAGCTAATGCTGGTCAAAATAGGAGTTCCCAGCAATCCGAAACCGCCCTCGATCAGGGCTAGCTCGTAAATTTACCGACTCATACCGCCGGGCCGTAATGCTGAATGCGCGTTGGACAAGCTCCATGGAGGGAGGTGCGGTGAGAACGGGTGAGAGGGCAATCAGACAGGCGTACGAAATGCCTGGCAAGCCTCCTGATGGCGAAGTCGACGGCGAACTGCGAGCGCTTAGCGCGCAGCTTGGCGCCCATACAGGTGCCGATAAGGCATGGCACGTGACCACCCAGACTGCCACGCAGCTTGGCGCAGTGGCCCAATTGGCGTCCGACTCGGAAGGAACGTCTGCAATGATGGAGATGCGGGGCACTAGCCTGAAGCGGACGTGAGATTCGCCACAGATTGCAGTCTCCATTGGTCCAGCACCTCCTTCCAGCCGCATATTAAAGCCAGTGAGTCCCTCCCAGAACGCTGATCTCAGGATGTCTTCCGTGCAGACTTCTCGCGCGCGAGTGCTCATCGCGCCAGTCTCTCCTGCAGGCTCCGTCGCCCTCCTCGATCCTTCCTTCCTGGTACATGTCGACGGGACGAGCCCACCTCCGTATCAGTCCGTGGACACTTGGCCAGCCAACGGGCAGGCCCCACTCCGCAGAAGATCGCCTTCATCTCTCACCTGTACTCCTCTGCAGCCACTCGCACCTCTGTCTGGACGCTCTGATCATTCCGCTTCACCTACCCATCCGACGTACACCCGGCCACGATCTCGCACTGCAGGCGACTCTTCCCTGAGGCCCCGACGAACACCCACGCGTCCTCGATCAAGAACGAACACCGAGATGAGTGTGCCAGACAGCAGCCCGCCTCCCTACTCTCCCTCTCCCGTCCAGCGCGCGAGCTCGTCCCCGCACCTGCGCGGAACACCACCACTGCAGCTCTTCACCTACTCCCACCCGCCGTCCTCTTCCTCCCTCGCATCGCAATCCCTCCATCACCGACCGCCCTCTTACTCGCCTGCCACTCGATCCGCCGACACGTCCGGGGAGGACGCCGACGACACTGCTACCTCAGACGACGGCATGATCTTCACCGTCCCCCCGCTCGGCGTGTCCGGCTCCTTGCGCTCGCGCCTGCTTAAGCGCAAAACGCGAACACACGACGGCGCGCCCGCTCGGCCGATCAGCACATCCCATGGCGTCCCCGGGGCAGGCGAGACTGAGACCGAGAGTGAAGACTCGGTGAGTGTCCATTTCGCGTTCTCGATATGTCGTCAAAGTCAGGTTTGGTGCGCTCGATTCCTTTTGTGACAATGGTTATCAAACCGGGTTGCTCTCAAAGAAGCGCCATAGATGGGTCAGTGTCTGGGGTGATCGCCGCTGCCATGGCAGTGATGGGGAAGACGTTAAGCTTTCGATATTCCCTTTCTTGGACAGCTGATAACCGTACATTTCATGGCTCAAGGCCATCTTTGACATAACTGGAATTTCTGGTGACAGTGGTTTCACGATATACAGGCAGTGGACTGGTCCGCCTAGCAGCGCATCCCACGTTGAGCCTCTTTGACGTGGTCGGACTTGCGAGCTAGTTCCCGTATGGCGTCCTGGAGATAGCGAGCTTGAGCTTGCTTGCCGCTATCTTTTGCGTCTTCACTGTCGAACTAACTCCCGTATGGCGTGATGGAGATAGCAGGCTTGAGCCTGCTTGCCACGTCTGTCACAGCCTCGCCCACTTTCATGCCCTGTACATGCGCGCGTGAACGATTGCTCATGATATCTCGTCTGACAGCCCCACAACCTCCCGACATCGCGCATCATCACGTCCTCCGCCGCATCTCCCTTCTCACCCACATGGTCCATCCACCTGCTCTTCTTCTTCTCGCGCCTGCTCTCCATCGTGCCCGCCGTGTTCGGCATGCTGTGGAACCTCTACCACGTCATCTGGCCGCCGGTCAGCACCGGC